GGGCGCGGGGGGGGGTGCACCGTGTCCTACCCAGACGCGAAATGGAAGAGGTTATGTTAGGGTGGGCGCAAGTTACCTTTTCAAAGTTCAAATCTCCAGTTTCTATACTCTTTGTGTTTGAATATTTTATTTATTTACCTTGATTTTGTTGAAATATTTTTCATTTAGGACAGTTTTCTCCCCACAGGAACTTTGGCGTTTCGCTCTGTTCGGGCTTATGTGACTTCGGGGGCATCATAGCCCCGTTTCTGCTCTTTCGGCTCGCGGCTGTGTGGCTGGAGCTGCCCCTGATCATCTTCGGTAAGAACCCCGGTCTCACTGCTCTGCGGTGCTTCCCCCGCACCCCGCGTGAACGGGGCTCTCAGCGAGGACCGGGGCTGACGCTGGCGAAAGCCAGCCGACTCGGACCGCGCTCGCCCTGCTGAGGGGCCGGCAGGGTTCCAGTGAAGTGGGAAGCCCTAAATAACTTTAATTTATATTCCAGGGTTGGGTGAGCAGAGCTCATCTTAGCTTTCTTTGTTTAAGTTCCAAGTTGAGGATCGACAGCTATGAAACTTTTATGGCACTGGGGATCGGAACCAGTGATTTCTCTGGGACAGTCAGTGTGTTTTCAGATAAGCCCGGAGACCAGTTCTAGCTGTCCGTGCTCTCTGTCCACGTCAGCTCTCGCTGCGATGCTGCATGCATGCTCTTGGGCAGCCTCAGGTCTGTCTCTCCTCCCGCTCCCAACGAAGGCCGCAGCCTTCACAGAGAGGACCCATGAGGACACTGGGCCGGCACCGTCCCACCTGTCAGCCCAAACTGAGTCACCACGCAGCCAAATGTGCTTCATTTGGGGTCAAAGGACTGCAGTGGCTCACCGGTTCAAGTAGAAAAGTCCAACGGGCCCCAGCAGGTAGCAGAGGGAGAGCTTAAGGAAGTGAAAGAAGGCGGTGAAGTTACGTGGCTAAAGAAAAGCCTTGCTCACTGTTAGCAGTCTGCTCGCGGTTATTTGTTACCAGTCACTGACCGTCCAGAGGACGGAGGGGCCCGGCCGCGCCTCTCCTGCAGCTGAAAGTCCAGCGTCAGCAAACAATTGTTTATTTGATGGCTTCATAAAACAATAACTTCCGGCCCACTCCAGGGTCTTTGAACTGTTTCAAAAGAGAGAAGCAGAGCAGTTTCCCTGGAAGGAATCCCAGCCCCATTTACAAGTGACTTCACAGACGTCATCAGCTTTTCATACTTTCTTTCTGCCTACATCTCACACCCCCTACCTTCCTCAGCAATAAAGGAAGCAGGTCAGCGTCGTTCTCACCTGCCTTCCCCACCCGCCCTTCCTTACTCCTGATAGAGAATATTTTTCATGCTGGCATTCAGTGCAGTGAAATACTGAGTGCTGAGAACCTACATCCTGAGTAAGCGAGCCTCCTTTAACAGTGCTCGCACAGTAAGGTCGGCTTCTGCTGATTTAATACCTAGGGATTCAGTAAGAGATCATTTCAAATTATTTCATGGAGTCGATCTTCAAGCTCAGTGTTGATTCTATAGCCAGCAGGATAAAGCAAATAGAGTCCCATCGTTCAGCCAAGATGGTGGTCCAGGCGCCTAGCAGGTAGACTGCAGCCTGCCAGGGGGTGGGGCTGGGGGTGGGGGGGCAGGGTGTGCAGGGCTCGGGCGCCATAGTCCCAGTGGGGAGAAAGCCCAGTTTCGTCATCACAACGGGGTGGGATAAAGGCTGAAGGGACAGGCCGTGAGAGCCCAGCTCGCTCAGGGCAGAGCCTACAGGCGGAGGGGAGAGTCAGAGAGGAGGGACCAAGCTCTGGGCTGAGAGCTGAGTGTGGCGGGAAGCTCTCCAGGTGAGGGTGGGCGGGGAGAGGGCTAGAGGAAGGAGGCAGCCTCCAGCTGGGCAGCCAGTCTGATTCCTATGAAATGGGGGGCTGAAGGGTGGGGAGCGTGTGCCCGGCAGATGCAGACGCAGCGGGGAGCAAGGCCCCGCTGGGCAGGGGCCGGGTGCACTGAAGAGTTGCCCTGTACCCAGTGGTGCCTCTGAGAGTGTGGAGGTGGGGTGGACGGTGTTGGGTTTGCCTTCTGGAAGTATGACCCATGCAGATGAATCGGTGGGGGTGATCACGCTAGTAGCCAGACAGTGAAATGGATGTCGTAATCAGGTCAAGAGGTCACGGTGGTGGATTCTCAGCGATGATGGGGGGGGGGTAAAGGGAGAGGAGGAGATTCAGGAATATACTAGAAATAAAATTGGCAACATGGGCTGAGTGATTGGGCGAGGGCCAGGGGGAGCAGAGAGGTGGGGGGCCAGGGCCCTAGCTGGGAGAGCTGTCAGGGAGGCCGAGCCCTGGCTTGGTGGATGCTGAGGGGCAGGTGGGATACGGTGACACCAGGTGGGATACGGTGACACGAGGCAGCTGAAGGAGACCCAGTCTAACACGCAGAAACCAGAGGCCTCGGTGCCCGTGCGCACCAGTGAGGAGTGGGGTCTGGACATCACCTTATGGACACCACCTGATGTGGACAGTCTTTGAAACTGTGGGGATGAGCAAGTTCAGAGAGGCCTGGGGAGCGTGTCAGGGAGGCAGGGTGAGTGGAGTCGGGAAGGGGAGGACGCTGTGGGCAGCGGGGAAAGGTGGGGTCCCACGGGGCAGGGCGGGAGGACGCTGGCCAGCCAACAGCAGGTGGGCTGGGGTAGACCTGCCCCGCCAGGGCCTTTGTTACATTTTGTAACATTTCTGAGCCGGTCATCATGGCAAATCAAAGTCCACCCACCAGTAAAGACAGATTCTCTAGGTTGGGCTGTCAACTCCCGCGGCCACTGCTCTCTGGCTCCTGAGTGGGCCGGCCTGGGGAGGTCGTGGTGGAAACGCCCTCCGGGGTAGGGCTGCTGTCTCCTCTCAGCGAGGCCGGGAGATGGAGGCGCCGGCGGGGGGGGGGGGGGGGATGGCGATGGCTCCGTGGTGCGGGCAGGCGTCCCCGTTCAGGGTGCACTTTCTCGGGGCCAGCAGGGGCAGCATCAAGCACGTACCCAGTGTCTCCAGCACAGGAAGACACGTAGGAAGACGGGGTTTGAAGAGTCAGCTCTAAAGGACAGAGAGACGGGCTGCTAGCTTAGCTCGATGCTGGGGCGCAGGGGCTGGGACAGAAGCTTCTACGAAAAGCAGAGGTTTGCGCGTGGCGCAGCGCCTCCGCTGGCGGGTGCAGGTACTGCAGAGAGGGCTCCTCAGCGGACCCCAAGGCATGGCCCTTGGACAAAGCCGGGAAGAGTCCTGGTGTCTCCCGCAGGAAGGGGAGGTGGGGCTCCTCTAGTGAGGCCAGGAGAAGCTGCAGCGACTCCTGACTGCCGGCTTGTCTTCCATGAAGCGACTTCCCCGAAGGCCCGGCACTTGGCAGGCAGCGGTCATTAGCTCGTGAGCGAGCGAGGGCACGTGTGTCCCGACTGCAGGCCGATGGGCTGGCACGGGGTGTGAGGAAGACGGAGAGCAGGATAAACGCTGGCCGGGGTGACCCCGGGCTGGGGCCGCGGGGCCGTGTGAGGGGCTAGTGAAGGTTGGCCAGCACAGCTGCTTCCAGAGTGAGCTGGAGGGCGAGGGGCCAGCTGTGTGCTCCTGCTGGAATGACGCCTCCCGCTGTTCCCTAGGAATCCTGGCCTCTATCTGCGGTGGCCTCGTGATGCTTCTGCCTGAAACCAAGGGCATCGTCTTGCCAGAGACAGTGGACGATGTGGAGAAACTTGGCAGGTATGGCACGCCGCTGGGCACAGCTTGAGTGGAGGCACATCTCAACCCCCGGGGAGTGATGGTGCTGAGGAAACTTAACACCTGGGCCGTGCGCCGCCATGACGGCATCGCCCCCGGGCTCCCGCCCATTCTCAGCAGTGGGGACGGAGGGTTGCTGCCTGCACAGGGCACCCCAGTGTCTGGTAGAGGGCTCCATCTACCCCACCCGCTGCTGCCTGTCCCTCCCGAGTGACACACTCCCACCGAGCCCCAAACCTGTCGGGGTCAGACTTTGAAGCCCATCAGCAAAAACATAGCAGAGGACGAGAGGTGATGTGAGATCAGGGCTCTTCTCTCGTCACTGCCTTAGAGCGGAGCAAGGGGAGAGGGCGTTCAGGGTGGGAGGGGCCTGTGCATGCAGCTCAGGGAGAATCCACACCCAGCGACACACACGTGAAGAACTAGACCCAAAAGTCAAGCGACGCTATTCTAATTTTTGCATTTTGTGACTTTCATAGTCAAAAGTTGGGTGAAGGAGTCGATTGTGCCCAGTCTCTACCCTTGAAAAAGATCTAGTGAAGTGTGATCCACACTCGTGCAGACTGAGCGCCTGCACCGTGTCCCATGGTTACGTCCCCTGGGAAAACGCTGGATTATTAATCGCGGTAGCATTTCCCCTTTAACCTGCACGAATCCCGTGTCCTCTCTGCTGTGTTTTATTCAATCGGCAGCTCACTCCAAACCACGTGACTCAGAAATTCTCGCGTGTGTGTGACGCTGGCTCCCCGGCCTCAATTCTGAAAGCTGGAGCCAGTTACGTCTGCCACCTGTGAGCTGGGCTTTGTGCGAAGTCCTGTCTGAGTGCACTTGCTCAGGGCCGCCTCGAGGCTGAGTAGCCTTGTGACTTTCCAGCTGGCGGTCTCGTCTTCCCTAAGCCTGTCCTTTCTCCTTTGCTCAGTTAGCCGGCACACCTGTCACTGGGGCAGGAGAAAGGAAACCCAAGTCTCCACTCCCACCTGTGAGGTCCCCTGAGAAAGACGGAGGAAACTGTTCTGACAATGCGACGCGCCTCTTGAAGAGACTTGTGTGTCCACGTGTGCTGTGGGACGCCACGCAGCTCTATGCATTTTAATACTGTACAAAGACAAACTATGCGGATATTTTTATACAGTGTCGGCCGGATCAGGACGCATCCCTCTCACTCCGCGCCCACATCAGGTGCGGACGGCCGGAGACAAGCCTGCCGTGTCGGACAGCTGGGGCCTGGCCCGCGTGGTCCCAGGGGCGAGAGAAGCCCCGTCCAGTCCCCATCATTGCTCCATGGAGAATGTGGGATGTCAGGCCAAGGATCTGGGCAGAGGGCTCAGCAGGGGCCACCCAGTCTCCCACTCTGAGCTGCACCCTGAAGAGTCCCGCAGGAGCACTGCCTGGAGGTGCTGTTCGAGGACAGGCGGGATCTACGGCCTGGGGGTGCAGCGGTCCTGAGCGAGCAGTCGCTTTCTCTGCTCGCTGCGAGCTTTGCCAGCCCCATGGCATCTGGGGCCACTGTGTGCTGGGCTCTGTCCATAGCTAGGAACAAATCTGCAGTGCAATTTGGGCGTCTGGCTCTATTTTCTAGTCATTTTCAGCCCTGAGATTCAGGATGGTTTGGGCCCCTGTTAGGAGACAGTGAGGACCCAACCTGAGTTCTTTACTGAACAAAACCTATGGATTATGATGCCTTGGGCCTTGCGATTTCATCATAAAGGGATGCTTATCTTCTGTTTGTGAGGTCATGTCCACGAGGGTGATGGTGTCCGTGGTCAAGAGTGGAAAACACGGACAGTTCTCATTCTGTCCGGACGCTTTGTCTTAGGAAGAAGCTGCCGGAGCAATCTGAAGAAAGGGCCATAGATGATGCTTCAAGAGTCGGCAGAAGCTTTGTGAGACTCTCGGGCACCCAGGCGGCGCTGATCTTTCTAGTGACAGAGACTTCTGCCTGTGCCGTGGGCAAGGGTGCTGCTGCCTGAGTGCCCTTTCTCTGCATTTGTCGTGGCCTCCGATTCAGTGCATGGCTTGTGCAGCGCTTTTTGATGGCCTCTCCTGTGCTCACAGTCAAAATGGGCGCCAAGGGGAAGCTGGCCGGCCAGGAAGGACGTTCCCGGTGGGCACATGGCAAGACATGTGCTGACTGTAAAATAAGCCGCTTCATCCTTAAAGACCTCATCGGAGTTGATGGCAAGCGTCTTGTTTTGTAGTGAAAGGAGAACAGCTGGGCCAGGGCACGACGTGCGTCCTCCCCTCAGCCTCACACACCTGGACTCGGCTTCCCGCCTCCTCTTTTGTTCTTTGGTACTATCACTTTCAATTGTATTTTGGTTCTGGTAAGAATAAATGTCTTTAAAATGGCCAAGGAAAACCAGTGTCCACCCTTGCCCTTCCTCCTGACCACATGTCCCCATAAATACACCTTGCCTGGGTGACCTGAGTGCTGTCCACCCCGGTAGTCAATTAGCAGCGGGAATTAAGAAGCCACTTATGTTGCTTGGTCCTTTGTAGGCACTTGGCACCTTTTCTAGACTCAGATGCAACTCAGAATAGCATTGAGCCTCTTCACTGGTCTTGTATTACACACCCACTGCCCGGTGAGCTTCCCGACGCACCACTCTGCCGGAGCTGGGTGTGCTGGCCACGGTCGAGTTGTCAGGAACAGATTTCATTCCAAGAATAGAATTTGTTCTCATGCCTCCCTGCCCCCCCCCCCGATACCTGTTGTGCTTTGAAAACATTTATCTCATTGCCAAAAATAAACACACGAAGATGCGTGTCAAGGCATCTTTTGCCCACAAAAGAGAGACATAGCTAACTGTAGTTAAAGGCTCGCGTGGCCATGATGCCACATAGGTCCCTTGTCTTTATGTGACGATACTTTAGGAGCAAAACCTGTTAGGTCCTCTATGGAAAACCAGTAGGATGGATGAAGAAATGGAAACAAGGAACATCAAAACATTAAAGAACAGAGTTTATTTTCAACAAATGTCCTAACTGTGTTGCCTTGTAACAGAGCCTATGCGTCCATGGACTGGAACAATTTATCCACAACAATATTTAAAAATGTTGAGAATTGGCAGAGGGTAACTAGAAGTTTCTTCACTTGATTAATGTCAATTACTTCTGAGCATACTAACCAGAGCTGTCGGTGCTTCACTGTCTTCCATCCATCAGTTATTATTCATTACATCCTCTATCCAGTTGACGAATCTTGAGACGCGCACATAGACACCAGGCTTATTGGGGCGTGCACAGCCGAGACCCCAGGAAGTGACTCCTTGTAAAATGTATTTGTCCTTCTCGAAGCAAACCAGAGGTCCTCCACTGTCGCCCTGTTCGGGAGGAGGGGCTCAGCCACTATGTTTTGTCATGGGAGGTGAGTTTTCCCAGAACTTAAACATTCTTTATAATCAGAAAGGATCTTATCAACTTATCATTGGAACATCTGTGTGCTTCAGTAACAAGCAAAGTATGTCAACAAAACCACACCACTTAGTATTTCCTGGTGAAGAAAATCCATTGTGAATAGCTACTCGTGTCTTCCCACTGTGGGGCTTCTCTAAGGCAGGGTAACCCTAAGAACAATTGGGGGGTAGGTGCAGCTGGTCTTGCCCCTCCCTGCTTAGGTCCCATCTCCAACCCCCTCAAGTCCCCACCCCAGCACACCCCCAGGCAGCGATGGATCTGAGCTACCTGCTTATACCCAACGTGCAACTCCAGGCCCAGGAGTCACCTGGATGACCTGCATCAGGCTCGGGGGGCAGGCCTATGGGGCTCGGGGGTCCATCAAGCCTAGACTGTGGCTTTGTTTGACAAATCCTTCCTGAATTTGCCACTTTGGGGCCGAAATAGCACAGAAGCCCTAACCAGACCAGTACAAAATCAACTTTGCCTTCTAGAGTCTTCTCTTACCTGGCAGCTGTCAGTGCCTCCGGCCAAGTCCCCAGCACAAAGCTCAGAGGATTTGACTTTTCCGTTCAGAAACTCGTAGCGATTGCACACTTTATTCTCAATCACGGGGAGCTGGGCTTCCTTGAGGAAGCCTGCACCATAGGTGCCTGTGTTTGAAAAGATGAAATAGAAGAGTAAAGGTTATTGGATCCAAAATGTGTTCACATGGAAAGTTCCAGAACAGTGGAGAAGCAGTGGTAGACCTCCCCTGTCCACAGGTTGGATGAGACAAGGGGATAGTGTCCATACCACTGAAACATTTCTTTTTTTTGCTTTCAATATTTCTTTTAGTGGAGTCTTTAGGGTTTTCTGTCATCTGCAAATAGTGGATACAAACACCATTCTCTCGCCTAATTGCTCTAGCTAGGACTTTCAGTACTATGTGACACCATAGTGGTGACAGTGGACAGCCTGATCTTAAAGGAAGTTTCTCATCACTGAATACGACGTTCGCTGTGTGTGGGCCATGTGCCTTTATTATGCTGAGGTATGTTCCTTCTGTCGAATTTTTATCGTAAACAATTTTTTTTATCATAAGCAAATGCTGAGTCTTGTCAAACGCCCTCTTTACATCTATTGATATGACTGTGCGACTTTTTGTAGTGGATCACTCAGCGTCTCAGTGCCCGGGTGCTCCGTTTCCCCGCCATGTCTTTGGCATTCTAAGCAAGGTAAGTGATGAGGCCTAGGGCTCATTCGGATCATCCCCTCATCAGCAATCACCGGTCCTTGTCGAAATATTTTGCTGTAAGCGATTTATTCGAGTGTCCTGACCTTTTATGTGCTGTTTGGGCAAGACAGATCCCCAACGCAGCAGCCGGCAGTCCACCCTGATGGGCACTGATGTGGTCAGTGGGGATGTGCTGCCATCCTGTGGTCACAGTAGAGATGGCATTTTTGAGAGCCGGGAGGCTGCTGGGGACCAGGATGTAGGAGGCTGATAGTGATAGGGAGTCCATGCGGTGGGGAGGGGGAAGAGGGAGCCCTACTAGGGTGATTGCTGATGGGGATGATCCAGGGGAGCCCTGCGCCTCATCACAATGGGACGCTACTAAAAAACACTAGGAACAATAAATCCCAACGAAATTCTGTTGTGATCCTATATGTAAATAATAAAGTAGAAGAGAAGGAAATCAAGTAAACAATCCCATATACAGCAGTGTGAAAAAAGTGTCAAATACCTAGGGATAAAAAAAGGAGATGAAGTACATATTGAATGAAAATTGTAGGGCATTGTTAAGGGGATAGAAGAAGAAACGGAAGCTATTCCTGCTCATGGTCTGCAAGAATTGACACTATTAAAATGGCCATCTTACCCAAAGCAGTATCTAACGTCAATGCAATATCCATCAAAGTTTCAATGGAATTCTTCAAAGAAATAGTGCAAAAGTTACTGAAATTTCCCTGAACAGACAAAGCAATCTTCACAAAAAAGAAGAGGAAAGGAAGGATCATGTGCTCAGACTTTTAAGTATACTACAAAGTAATAGTGATAAAAATAGTAAAGCTTTTGAATAAAAGTATACTCAGAGAGCAGTGGAACTGAATTCAGAGCCTGGAAGTAAATCCACACCTATGTGAACAGTTAATCCATGAAAGGAACCCAGAGTACACACAGGAGAAGGGAAAGTCTCTTCAACAAATTGGGCTGGGGTAACTGAACAACCACATGGAGAAAATTGAAACCAAGCCACACCACATAAAAATTAACCCAAAATAGATTAAAGACTGGATGTATGATCAGAACCATAAAACATAGAAGTAAACATCAGCAAAACTCTCCAGGACACTGGCTTCCGCTATGTCTTTGGGGACCCAACTCCAATGCCAAGAAATACAAAAATACAAACAGGACCACATCAAACAGCAAAAGAAACTATCACTAAACCTAAAATGGGAGAAAATACTTGCACATCAGACATCTGATAAGGGGGCTGATGGCCAGGATCTAAAAGAACTCGCATAACTGAGCAGTAAGAAAACCAGGAACCTGGTTAAAAAGTGGGACAAAGAGCTAAACAGACACTTCTCCAAAGAAAAATCAGATGATCAACAGGGATGTGAAAAAGCATTTAACGTCACTTTTCATCAGGGAACACCAAAACCCCAGTGAGATATGGCCCGTGAGAATGGCCATCTCAAAGAAAAGCACCAACGAAAAGTGCTGGCAAGGATAAGAGGAAAAGGGACCTCTGTGGACGGAGGGTGGGAATGCACACAGGCCCAGCCCCACGGGAGACAGAGGGAGGTCCCGCAAACTCTTTCAAGCAGATCTACGAGATGGTGAGGTCGGGGAGGCAGTGCAGGAGGGTGGTTAGAATGCACAGCGGGGGAGGGGCTGCCACAGAAGAAACAGCAAGAGGATGCAGCTGTTTCGAGTCTATGATCCAAAGAATGCAAAACCGCTAGTTCAAAAGGCTGAAGGCACCCTCTGTCCGCTGCAGCACTGCTTATAGCAGCCAAATGTGGAACCGACCTAAGTGGATAGAGAAGCTGAGGTGTCTACTCACCGTGGAATACTACTCAGCTATGAAAAGAGATGAAATGGTGCCATTTGTGACAGCAGGGATGCAACTGGGGAGGATCGTGCTAAGGAGGAGAAAGACAAATCCTGGATAATTTCACTTGCGTGGCATCGGAAAAACATAACAAAGGAACAGAAAGAGCTAAGCTAAAGCAAAGGGTAGAACGTTGCAGAATTGAGGCGACTCACGGGGAAGGTGGGGGTAGGGAACGGAGCAGGCAGGGGCCAGCGGTCTGCGGTGGAGGGGAATGGGTGCTTTGGTGGCAGGTGGGACATGGGAACACACCTCTCACGTGGTGTGAGCACTTGTTGGCTTAAATCACAGATAGAGTTGTAAACCAGGGTTCACCTTGATTTTTAAAAGTACTGATTCATCGGATTTCTAATTGCTACTGACAATTGGAAAATTGGTCAAACAGGCCTGACCTGGGCTTTGTGACCCCCGGGCCGGTCAATAAGCACTAGCTATTTCCTCGGTAGGCCGGGGCGAGGTCGGGGAGGCAGTGCAGGAGGGTGGTCAGACTGCACGGCGGGGGAGGGGCTGGCACGGAGGAACAGCGAGAGGACGCAGCGGTCAGCAGGCCAGCTCCACCGGAGCCACCGCCATGAGGTCTGCGTTTCGTTAACTGGTGGTGACGACGGGGAGGTGGGGGTGACGGTGATGATGGGCTGGGGGACAGCGGTGACTCTGATGGGAGGTGGGGAGGTTTGGGGTGATGTGATGGTGTTGCTGCTGCTGGCGGCGGGGATGAAAGGTGTCGCAGCAACGGTGAGGACGGTGGTGGCCGGTGGTGGCCGGTGGTGCAGCAAGCGTAAGGGGTGTTTGCTATAAAGCGCCCTCTCCCAAGCACAGAGCGCCCGTGCGCAGCACAGCCGGCCAGTGTGGTCGGCCCCTGCGGGGAAGCCGAGCCAGAGACTCCAGCACAGGAGGCGAGCCGAGCGGACCAGCAGCCACGTGGTGGCCATTCTAACTGATTGGCTCCGCGCGGGCTCCTGTTGGTCTCCTTGATGCCTGGAAACCGTTCCTCCGGCATCCCAGCCCATGCCCCGAGGCGAGGGCCACGCCTCGCCCCGCGGGGGTGGGGTGGAGGCCTCCTTGGTGCGGGGGATGTGGCAGGGCCTCACAGACCATGAGGGCACCGAGGGAGTGGGCGCCGCCTCCTGACAGCTGACAGCGCCCCCATGCTCAGGGGGAGACCTGGCTCCGGACGCCCAGACAGCCAGCGGGGCCCCACGCCCAGGAGTCCTCTCCGTGGAGCCTCTGCCGCATGCGAGGAGCCCTGGGGTGAGGGCTGCGCTCCCTGGGTCACCAGGACTTGGCCTCAGGGCCCCCCCACCGCAGCCCAGCAGCCCACCATCGGCAGAGGAAACAAACGGCCCGAAGCGGCGGTGCCTGCCGACCCCCGCAGCTGGTAAGAGGGGGCGCCGGGCTGGGTGTGGGTGCGCCTGGTCAGGCCGCGCCTCTTTGCCAAAGGGGACCGGAATGTGCACCCCCAGCTGTGCGTGGGGGCGAGGTGGTTCTACGTGCACATGGCGGGGCAGCACGCACCCCTCAGAGAGGCCTTGTGGGCTGTTTCGCCTTCCCTCACCTCCGTGTTCAGCTCCAAGGTGTGGAAAGGGGGGTGCAGGAAATCCGGAGCGAGATTTTGAAACAGTAAGTAGCAAGAGCAGAGTGAGAAGGAGACGAGTTTGGAATTATCTAGACTAGGAGCTGTTCCCTTTTTTTAAACCACAAAATCTTTCTTCTGTTGAAAAATGTGTGCCTACAAACTACGCCAGGGAACCCCATCTGGGAAGACTCATCCACGGCCCTGGGACCAAGGTTGTGGGGTGACGTGGCCGGCTTGCCCAAGAGGGGCAGAGCCGGGGACAGTGTCCGGGCCGGCGGCCCGCACAGCCCTCCGAGGAGCGAGCTGGAGACCTGTGCTCACCTGTCCCTCCCCGGCCCCTCCGTGGGGCGCCTGTAATTGTTGTCAGGGTACGGTACAGGGTGGGACGGAATCCCGAAAGGGAGCCCAGGCCCTGAGCCGGGACCCCCTGTAAACAGCGCCCTCTCCCGCCCCGAGGGCCACAGTGGGCCCACCCCAGAACCGCACCGCTCTGACACCCCCTTCTCTCCTGCCTTTCCTGCTCTGTCTGTCGCAGCCGGCACAGCCACACGGGCCGGACGAGCAGGCACTGGGGAGACGGATTTGACTGTGAATTTCTGTTGTTGCTTCACGCTATGGGGCGTCAGTCTGGCCAGCTTCACGGGGGACATGACCTGACACATTTGCAGCCTGACGTCAGAGCCCTCTGTCCTGCCGTTAATGTTGACATCGCAGACTGTCCCCGCCTGGCCCAGCACCCCTGGCAGCGACCGAGGACAACAGGCCGGCACCCAACCGTCATTTACGGGCTTTGTCCAACTTTCTCCAAGACGTTCCTTTTCCCCACGTAGGTGGCAGGTCAACACATCATTACTTTGGGGAATTGCAAAATTTCTCTCACCTTGGGTTTCCCCCCAGCCGGTGATGTAGCACAAGGTCCGGTCGGCCACCACGTAGTTCTGGGTTGGCAGGCAGGCGGGGATCACCTTCTCAGTGATGATGGCAGGGCTGCGGCAAAGCAGAAAGAGCTAGAATGAGGGGCTGGTTCACCCAGGTGAGACGCTGCCACCGCAGCCCGCAGCCGGAAGCTGGCATTTCCACCCCCCTGACGCCGGGCCGCGCGGAAGACCCCTGTTCCTCCGTGTGTTGGCCCGGAGCAGCGGACAAGCCAGCGTGTCCCTCAGGCATCCACAGGACCAGAAAGTAGAGGCTGTCGGGATGGCAAAGCCTCAGCGCCCACATCTGTCCTGCCATGTCGGCTGCATGAGAGCGCGTGCTATCAGTGGAGAGGCCTGGACCGCAGACGGAGGCCCGAGGGACACCGCCCCGGCTGTGGTGGCAGCTACCGAGGGGCCGGGCCTGCGCTGGCCGCTCGACTTTGTGGGCTCTGTTTCCTCATCCACGCGTGTACATGAACCCCACAGGATGGGTGAGCCTGGAGGCCAGCAGCTCGCCAGATGGCGTGTCTTCAGAGAATCTGCAATTGCCTTAGCATTCCAGAACCTGCAACATTACGGCTGCGGTCTTACGACTCGTTTTTGCTTTAGGAGATTCTGAAGGCAAACAGGTTGGAGGCCAGACAGGCTCTCTGGGTAAGAAGCTGCCGCCTGGACGGCGGGTGCAGGGTGCCGGCTGGGTGCTAAACGGACCTGCCCACCAGAGAACACCCGGAACCTCACATCTATGCAGCGACATTCAGGCCGCCAGGGCCTCCTGCCGGCCATCAGGCCCCAGGAAGGGTATCGCCCTCTGGGCTCCACCCAGGAGCTCCTGTCTCTCCGCCCTAGAGAGTCGTAAACACCGACCGGCTGTCAGTGCAGAGTCCGCTGCCCGGGCTCCACCAGAGCCCTGCGCCTGTCCAGGCCCCGAAGTGCCTTCCCAAAGTAGCCGTGGGTTTAACTTAGCTGGCCGGGACCTGCCCAAATCCGTCTGACCTGAGCTGGCATAAGCAAGGCTGCCTCGTTGCCAGGCTTCAAAAACACCGTTTCAGCGGCGCTGTGAGGCTGATGGGAAGTGAAGACCAGGTGGTGACGTGCTGGGCCCTGCGGTCTGTGAAGAGCTCTGAAACGCCCACACTGGAGCCACACAGCGCTGCGGCGTGGAGAGACTGCCAACTTAGGCTGCTGGAACGACCTCCGGCTGCAAGTGCCTATTAGCCGGCTAGCCGAATAAGTGAGAGTTTGGGGGGAACTGCGTACCTCGGGTTTCAGCTCAGTCTTTGTCCTCTTGGGGAGCCCGCCCAGGGCTGTCCACGACCACCGCTGGGGATGGCAGGGTGGGGCCAGCATGGACCTCGGGCTCACGCGCCTCTGTCCCCTAGATGGTGCCTGACTGAGCCCCTCGGCCCCCACGCACCACACTGTCACAGCTCGTGACGCCAGGCCACAGACACGTGCCGGCCTGGATGAAGCCTCGGGGGCCGGTACCTGCTGAGCTTCAGCAAGGCGATGTCTGCTCTTCCTGGCCCCAGGAACATCTTGGCCACTCCTATGTCCTGGACGTCCGGCTCAAGTTTCACTTCCTGGTGTGCACCAAGGATGACCTTGTATGATGAGGCCCTTGGGGACCTAGAAGACAGTGATGTCAGGAGCAAAATAGAGGCCAGAGCTCAGGGACCCTCCCGAGCCATGGACACTGCATCCCAGCTGCCTTCCCTGTGGCCTCTGAGTGGGAGGCAGGGAGGAGAGGTAGAGATGGAGGGAGAAGTGGAGGAGGGGGTCGAGGGGAGGAGTGAAGGGTGGAGGGCGAGGGTGGCAAGGAAAGGGGGTGGGGACTTTGAGACAGGTCTTCCGGTCAGGTGCTCCACACTTACCTCTCCAAGCAGTGGGCAGCGGTCACCACCCACTGCGGGGCGATTAACGTTCCTCCACAGAAATGCATCCCAAACCTAGGGAGGAAAGTGCCAGGACTTTAGTTCAAATACCACGGTCAGTCCTCCAGAAAGAAGTGTCCACTCAGTCTTGAGAGCACTGACGTTCACAGCGGGGCTGGCGTCACTAGTGGGTGACACAAGCTGTGCAACAGCTATCGACCGACATATTCCGGATGGAGACGGAAGAGCTCTGAAAAATCAGACTTTCCACGCTCACTTACGTTGTGACCTCCCTTTTTTGTATAATCGTAATATCAAAATATTCTGAGCAACCTTCAGCTTGGTTTTTGCCTCAGTCTAGATTGGATTGCCTCAGCCTAGAAGGCGCAACCTGGCCCTGACAAGCAAGTACTGCACCAGGGTGAGACATTCCTCTCGAAGTCAGAAGTCATGAAACAACTGGCTGATTAATAAAAACAAATGTCTGTTAGGGCAAAGTCTCACTGCCAGAGGAGGAAAACCCAAACCTTATCACTCTATCTCAAGTAGCCTTCTATTCAGTTTCTAAATAACCACTCAAACTTCTTACTATCTAGTCTTAGATATGGAAATTCACCCAAGTGGCCTATTCAGAGCTAATCAGGTTTTCTACCATCTAGACTTCAAGGAAACTCACTTAAACTTTCTAACAAGTTTTTCAAAGAGCCTTACCTTAATTTGATTTACAAGAAATTTCCTCTTCCTGCCCTCAGTTACTTTCCCCCCTAGGATGTCTCTATGAGAATGAAAGCATTAAGTAATAGATAATGTTTCAGGGGCTTTATTTTGGTGAATCTTCACTGTGGTAAATATAGTAATATTAATCTTAAACTTTGTGAATCTCTGTACCTGTTTTAACCTTGATACATTGATTTTAAAAATATTATAATCTCAACTAAAGGTCAAAACGACCCCAGACTATTCTTAGCAAAAAGGTGATTGTGACCTCAGCTCATTTCATATGCTAATGTCACCCCTCTGCCGGCCTGAAGCGTGTAAAATAAACCTCCGCGGAAGGCAGGGCAGGAAGACTCGCACCCAACTCCCATTCCCTGTCTTCCTCGCGCCCGCTCCCCTTTTTTTTCCTTTCCCCCCTTTTTCTAGGAATCTCCGCTCACCTACGCTGTTCCCACCTTGAGACCCTGCCTGTTCTGCCCCCCAATAATCCGTGACTGGGGACAAAGAGTCTCTGACAAGTGGGCTTTTCTGGAAGGTTTCATTCATACCAGGGGGCTGGGGAAGGCTAGGTGTGGGCTCCCCGACCCGAGCACCAAGCCATGAGGCTCCATCATGAAGCAGCTCTGGCCTGACGTGCCGGTCTGGGCCCCTCAAGTCACTGCCTGTTCTCCGCAGTAAGAGACAGGCAGGACCTCTCAGGAAGCCACTGTGACCTGAGCCACCATGGTTCGTGGGAGTCTGTGGAATCACCTGAGAAAACTCCCTAAATCATTCACAGGCAGGACCCTCTAGCCACACAGTCGCTCACAGAGTCGCCGTGAAGCTGATTGTGACGAGGACACGGACAGCAAGTGTGCGACGGTGAGGAGGCCTTCGTGTAGTGAGGAGAGTCTGAGGGGCCTCGCTGTGGCCGGGGGCTTCTGTCCAACACTGTCACCTCTATGGCCCGTGTTCCCTCCCTGGCCAGGGAAACCCAAGGGCACAGCAGACCTCTCCTGTCTCTCCATTGTCCCCCTCACAATGTAGATCTGTCTATCCTGCTCCCCACTTTGTCTCTGGGGAGTCCTCTCACCCCCACACCTCTAGCCTGCACCCCAGTTCTACACACACCCACACACACACCACACACACACAAAGAACCTGCAATATATGAAAAGTGAGACTAACTAGCAAGGAGTGACTGAAGGAGAGGCAAGAGAAGAAAAACCAACGAGACAGAGGGACACATGCTGCTGTGTGGCGTCCTCAGCCTCCCGGGGCTGTGGCTGGCAGCCTCTGTCCGGCTGGCATCCAGGGCAGGGCACTGCGTGCAGGTGTGATGAGAAAGCCATGCAAACGAGCAGAGGAGCCTGCGTCACCGTAGGGGTTCTGGAGACGCCAGGAAAGCAGCCTTGTAAAGGAACAGCCACCGGCATGACGGCCAGACGGGCAGAACCCTGTGAGGGAAGTGGACGGCTAGGTGGCCGGAGCTCCCTCGCTGAGGGTGCGTCTGTGGAGGGAGCACATCCCTTCATTTGTGAACAGGTCCGAGAAGAATGTGCATCTGGGAGTGTGTAACTTCACCCTCGCCCCTCCCCAAGTGACAGGATTCTAAAAGCGTCCCTTTCTTTTTGTTTTACAAAGAGACAACATCCACCAGGTCAACTTCAGAGGCGTTTTCCTGCAGCTCCAGGGATACCAGAGCTGGGTATGAAACTGCTGCATTTTGAGCATAGCTGCCAGACCAAGGAAAAGCTAACAATGCCGGCTACTTGCAAAATAGAAACCCTAGAAAAAATACATCTTCAATTTATAATAGGCTCCCTGGGTCCGTAGGAAGATTCAAAAGCAGGCCCTAACCCCTGAGCTGTGTGGAGTCAGTGAGAAGGTGGACTGGCTCATGGGGCTTACCCGCGAGGAGGAAGCACGTCCCGGGAAGCACCGTTACCTGGTTCTGAGGCTGACCTGCCAGGGCCAGGAGTGCGGGTTAGCCACGCATCCGCCCACGACCCTCCCCGGGCACTTCTTCGGCTCCACCTTGGGTTTTCCACAGTCAAATGCAGAGGACGCTGTGGCACAAATGGGCAGAGCAGCGTTCAGGAAGCACTGTCCACGCGAGTCACAGGAAGAGGAGTCTAAGCCCAGCCCCGGGCCTGACCTCTCACCACCCAAACGAAAGCGCATCTCTGGAATACTTTAAGTTTCAAAAGTGGTGGTAGACAATACATAAGTCCCCCTTTCAAAAAATATTTAAGTACTTTTAAAATTATTTGTGGGGGAAATTGGTAGAGGTAGACATTAGAGTGGGAGTCTGTGAAGAGACCCTGAGTGGCACAAGTTGGTATTCTGGTTCGCTGTCCTGCATGCAATGTCCCACATTCCTGCTGTCCTACAGCTGGTGTCCCAGATGTCCACTGTCTGCTATACCCTATACCCAATGTCCTGTATTCCTGCTGTCCACTACGCCCTGTCCCCAATGTCCCACATTCCTGCTGTCCACTACGCCCTGTACCTAATGCTCTGTTGTCCTTTATGCCTGTACCGAATGTCCCTGATTCCCGCTGTCCACTATCTATAGCCTCACAATTTCCTCCTGCTTTCTTTCTCCGCAGGGCTGCAAGAGAACATTTCCAGTGGTGATTTGGAATCTGTCTTCACGCATCCAAACCAGATGTCGCAGAATCCAGGTAGGATCTGACACCTTGAGGTCGCCGCTAAGCTCCCTCTGTTGTATTTACTTTATTTAAGGTGTTGGGGACAGGAGTTTGCCTAACACATGGGGCCACCAGTAAGGCCTGTGTCCCCCAGACACCTCCGGGGAAAGGAGGGCTGGGGGGAGGCAGTCCTCACCCCCAGAGGGGCTCGGCTCCCAACCCTCCCCGGCACGGCCGCAGCCGAGGGGAAGCTGCATTTTCTGGAGAAGCCCGCTCCTTCCACACAGAGGACAACTCACCACACTGAGGGATGTCACAGTAGTCAAACAGCTTTCTGGGGTTCATGGTGTAGCACCAGGGCCCACTGGTGTCCCCATCGGGATTCCGGCAGTACTGAAAGAAGGGAGGTGTGTTATGGACACAGGGCAGAGGGGGTGCGGTGCCCCTTTATACTTGGCGGGTTGGTTTCAAGACGCTCACGGAGGCTCCGAGGCACCGAGCACCTTGGCCACGTCTCTTTGCTGTCGAGAGGCTCCAGCTGAGGAACTCGCCCCCCTTAGGAGGGGCACAGGGGACGGGGAGGCTGAAGGATGCCCACTCAGTGAGCACCCCGGCCGTGGCAGGGCACTTTTGAGAGACCCCGCAGCGTGGGGGTGCGAACAGCTCATCGGGCCCTGGCTCACCTCAGCCTCTTCGACCCCACGTTCCAGTTGCTGTTTGCCAGAGACGCTGGTTCCCCTGGGCTGTGCACCGTCCGGGGGCCAAGCCCCACAAGCAGCGTCTCCCTTCTTCCCTACTCATCCTCCCTCCAGAGAAAACCGTCCCAGGAAGCGTGAGACCAGGAAATCCTACTCCGTGGAATCCTCATGACCCCAGGAATATTTTCTAGCAATTTCCTAACGTGTCAGAAAGGTCGTCTTTGATTTCCAAAGTCTAAGGGCAAACACTGAAAACTATAAACAGCACCCAATAAACACAAAGCCGGGCAGGCCGCAGAAGGGAGGCGAGAGGCCCCAGGGCAGGGCTTCCCACGCGGCTCCGGGGCCCACCGGAAGGCGGGGTGCCCCGCCCGCCCACACATGGCCTGCGCGCGGGCTGGCTCCCGTGGCGCAGGGGCAGCCGAGCCGGCAGGAGCTGGTCCACGGGGGTGCAGCAGGTCCCCAGCGAGGGGCTTACGTTTTCTTCCAGACCAGCCTGTGGCTTTGTCTCCGGAGTGAAAATGCTGTGCTTGTGGGGCTCCTGGGCAGCCCAGGGCTGGCACGGGGTGCCCGTGACCGTGGTGGCCTTCTTGCCCCGGTATCCTTTCCCGATCCCAAACATGCAGTCTGTGGGGAACAGAATGGGGTCATGAACCGGGTGCGGACCGATAGCAGAGTGCGTGCAGACTCTGGGCCCAGCCTCCCCAGCACTGGGGGGCCCAGGAAGCGGGGACCTTGCTTACTGGCACATTTGGGAGTGATCGCACATTTAGCAGGACATCAGACTGGGAACTGTGGCCAGGACACTAAGACAGAGTTGCCAGAACCAGAAGCGCTCTCCCTGCTCAGGGGGCCAGGACAGGGTACCCCACAAGCACTGGGGGAGGCAAGGCCCTGGGGGAAGGGCCTGAGCTTCAAACCAATTTCTCCTTTCTAATCATGACTGTCTGGAGCACTTTGAATTATGCAAAACTCATCAGAGGTCACCAGACCCCCGGGTTTGTGTGCTATTTTAGGGGACACCAGCTCCCCGTGTCTCCTCCTGCCGCATGGCAGAGCGCTGGGCTGTAGCCCGACGGCAGGAGCCAGGAGCCCGGCCCTTGCAGCCACACACCGGGCCGGGCAGCAGAAACGCACGGCGAGTCCGTGGCGTCCCGCCACGCTGGCAACCACGGCCTTGTTTTGGGGCCCCGGCCCTGCTGAGCTACATTGCTCGTGTTTGCCAGGGAGCGCCACCTGGCCTGACTAGCACCCCTAATTTGGCACATTCCAAACCAAAGGAGTCATTTCTGTTCCTCCAGGGGGAGGCATGGACTTGCTTTTCTGGAATGTTCCAACTCTGCCAGAGCCACTGTATCAGCCTTGCAATACACCCAGGCTCACCTCTGCCCATCCCTCACGGTCAGGACTTCTCACTGCCCGCAGAAACCACCCTCCCAGGCGTCCCCCGCAGAGGCATTGTGGCAGCCGGCGCCTCCCTGGCGTCCTCCCGGCAGCCCGCAGCCAGCACACCAGGTCCCCGCAGCCACAGGCCTCTGCGTCCCTGAGCTCTCCCTACGTTTCAGCCTGGCGCATCCTGGTGGCCCAGGCTGCAGGTGTCTGGGTGTAGACACTCACCTGCTTCTGCAGGATCCTGCGGCCTTTGAACTGGGGGGACCACTGGCGAGCCTGGGCTGCTCTGGTCTGTTTCTGAGCATTTTTTCAGGTTGCAGTACTCCCATCTGACACTGGGGTCCGTGGTGTAGCACCAGGGGCTTTTATCGTGGTCCGGGTTCCTGCAGTAGTTCATCCTGAGGTCACTGTGGGTTCCATAACAATCTCGGTCAGGAGAGGCGGGACCATGAGTAACACCCCAAAGCACCCTGGATCTTGTTACAACAAAGTGCTATCAAATAGCTGAAAGATTGGCACCCAAGGCCCAGTGTCACTGTTTGCCACAGCTCAGAGGGTCATGGCTTCTAAGCTACTGGGTGCTAAAAACAGGCTGCAAACTTTACTGAAAAAGCCAGCACAGCAGAGGCCGCAGACGGAACTGGAGCTAATACATACGCTGTAGTGGAAAGGACCGTGATAGCTCCCTCACACTGTGATGTGCACCCAGGGAAGGCCAGTGAGGACTGTCTCCTGCGTGTATTAGAAGAGCTCACGGGCTCCCTGTACTGACCCACAGGGTGTGGATGCTGGGGCTCACACGGGCTCTGTGTCCCGGACACCCTCGCCCTGCCTGCAGAGACCAGGCCCCGCCCACAGTCCAGGAGCTCTGTGTCCAGCGGGCCCAGCTTGGAGGCCTCCCATCTGCACAGGCACCTGCCTGGCTCCATAATCCGCGTTCTACTAATCAGCGTTCCACTGACTCAGGGACCTGCGTGGGCCTTCCATGTAGTTTGACGTGTGTCCTGAGGGGCATCTCCCCACAGCGCCCTCTCCTGGTGTGACACACAGCGCCCTTCCCCCTGAAAGCTCCGGGTCGCTGCTCCGTCCATCTCTGCGGCCCCCGGAGGTGACAGCTGCTGATCCCTTGCCTGGGAGTGGATTTGGCTCTTGTGTGGCGCCGGCAGAAGAGCCTCAGACGACCGGGCACTGGGTGTGGACTCTGCGTGGTTCTTCCCTGAGTCCGTGGGTTGGAACTTGATTTATGCTGTTTGTAAGGAGCGGGGCCTCCTGAACTGAGCTGTGTTCGTTTCGGGAACCTGCCAGCAATTACTCCTTCGTTTTGTTCGCATCAGAGGAGTTTCCTTGCAGGGTGAGCCCGAGTGCGTCTGCCGCCTCTTCTGGCGGGCACGTGGCCCCTGGAGATTCTGTTCCCCTCCCTCGTGAACACGGTTGCGGGCCCACGGGGGAGGCGTGTTGGGCTTTGTAGGAGCCGTCGGCTGACCTGCAAAGTGGATGGTCCCCGACACCCCGTCCAGCGCCGGAGAGCGGAGGCTGCGGGGCCGGTGGCCTGTGCCCCGGGGTGAGGAGGTGGCTCGTGTGGGTCCAGCACACTCAGGGCCTCGCTGGCCACTGGCATCTGTGGGTGCCCTTTGGGACCCCCTGCCTGTTTTTATCAGTTGTTTGACTTCTTTCACTGAGAGCTCGGAATGACGACACTTCTGGATCCAAATTTGTCTATTTTCTTGGTGATTTTTGGTGAGAACCGGTTACCTGTTTGTGGAAGTCCTGGTCGTGCATTTTTGTAGTGGCTGCGGATCCTCTCAGTGTGAGCTTGTTCTCTTGGGGCTTTTCCGAGAAGCTTGATATGTCAGCTTTCATTTTAGCTTCATTGGGCCTAAGAGATTTCTCAAATTCATCTGAGGTTGGAATCAAGGTTTTGGTCTCCTATAAGGCTATTCAAGTGTTCCAGAACCACGTGGGGAAAGAGTTTCTCTCTTCGCTGGACTGTTTGCCAGCTCGACTGAAAATCAGTCGTCTTCATGCACGTGCACCTGTGTCTAGTGTACTGCTCTGCCTGTTTGTCTAGCTTATTGCCTGGCTCTCGGTCACACAGCGTGTCAGAAGTCTTCAAATCAAGGCATGTAAGTCCTCCAAATTGGCTCTTCTTTTAGAGATTATTGTGGTGATTTTAGCTCCTGGCATTTGTATTTTGTCACCATTTATCATCCCAATGTTGCAACTCTGCTTGGGTGTGGGTTGAAAAGAAAGATCAGATATGGAGCCTCTTGGTCCATAAACATCGATATCTTTAGCCAGACCTTTGAATTTTCTCCTCAACGTTTTGTAATATGTAGTATATAGTTTCTTGAGCATACTTTATTACAACAGTCACTGATTAGTTTGGGTTTGATACTATCCTCAGGAATATTATTTTTCAGTTTTTGTTCCCAGCCATGCTGATGGGGCACAGAAATACGGTCAGTTTTTATACATTGCCCTCGTGTATACATCCATGTCTTCTGAGTAGCAAGATTTACTTATTAATCCTTAAGATTCTTTGTGGACGTTAATTTTTTTGTGTGCATCAAGACTGATTTTCTTACATGTTTCAATCTTGAGGCCCTTTCTATCTATCTTTTCCTTTTAGGTCTATAGTTTCCTGCTTCCTTTTTATGCCTCCTTTCCTTTCTCTTTAGCTCATCCATGTGTTTTTTCGTGTTCATATTTTCCTTTAAATCTTTGAACACAGTTATAAAATCTTTGAAATATTTGTCTGCTAAATCCATCATTTCTACCATTTCTGTTTTTACTGACTAGTGATCATGGTGCCAGATCACATTTAATTTCTGAACTAGTAGATACACAAAAATCATTAACACCAGACATTATAGGTGCTGTGTTACCAAGTGACTTTACTTTTCAATTTTGTCTTCCTCTCAATTTTGTTGAGTTTTCGCCTGGAAGGGTTACTTTACTCACAGTCATTTGACCTTTTCGTGGTTGCTTTGAAGTACTAGGTTATTCTTAGAGCAAATCTTACTTTAGTTAGTCCCTAATGCTAAAACGGGACATTTCCAGTGTCTCTATTGAAAGTACAAATGTTCTGCAGTCTCTCCTCTCGAGCTAATCAGAATCTCAAATCCTCACACACAGACTCTCCCAGAGGTATATGAATTTTGTAATATCCATTTATCTCATCACTTCCTGATAGCTGTTTTCCTCTCTCCTAGTCTCTCTCTTCACAAATGCAGCTTTGCATTCAGCCAAATACTGATGAAGACATCTATGCATATTTCTGGAACTCCTTTTCTGCACAGAAGCTTTATCGTTATTAAACAGTCTATAATATATACTTGACGGAGTACTACGCAGCTGTGAAAAGGGATGGAATAATCACATTTGAGACAAAATGTGTAGTCCTCAAGATGAATATGTTATATGAAGTTAAAAAAAAGGGGGGGGAATACAGATATCAATTATTTCCTTCATCTGTGGAATATAAATAACAAAAAAAATACAGGTAAAATATAGGAGGAATACATTTTGAGTTAAGTGAAAGAACATAATGGTTACCAGAGGAAAGGGAGAGGAGAGGAAAAAGGATGGGGGAGGGAGACCGATGAGGTATGTCATGGGTTATTTGGTGGAGTGTAAATGGAACCTGTGTCCATATGAAAGTAACTTCAAAACTTAAAAATTAAAAAAAGAAAAATACCAGCTGCTGCAGTTAACCTAGTCTAGTCTCTGTCTCCTCAGTGGGGTAGGTTGCTGTTCTCTGTTTTGGATCCAACTCCTTGCACTACAGTCTTTTAAGACCATGATAACTGTATGGTTCATAGAATTTATTTCCCAATCTAAAAAGCCTCAGTACTATGCTGCCTGTTGTCCACAGTGTGAAAATAGTTTGTCATCAACAACAACAACAAAAAAAATAGTTTGTCATTGACTTGACAGCCATTTATTGTAGGAATACTGACCTGTTCCAATCCAGCCTTTTTTCTCTTTATCTGTCAGTATTGCCCATCTGTGTCTGTGTACGTCCTAGCTCGCATCTGCCCTTCTGCTTTCCTATCCCTTCAGTCCACAGCAGCTCAGATCCCTTCAGACCACAGCAGCTCAGATCCCTTCAGACCACAGAAACTCAGGGCCAATATGTCTGCTCATGTCAAATGACATATTTCTACTTAGGTCCAATGAAAAAATATACTTTATCTTAGGGATCAAATGTTGGAGATGCATAGTTAAAAAAACTGCATCTTTAGCAGATGCTATGGAAGGATGTTTTCTCTAAGCTTTTGGTTCTTTATTCTACACATTCCACTAGTGCAACCCCAACAGCTCCACAGATGCCCAAGCCACCTGCTTCCATGAAACTATGCAGAAAGGAGAAGCATCCAATAGCTTCTCTTCTTCCAGCCATTTCTTCAGAAAACAAAATGTGGGAGTCATTTGTCTCAAATTCAGATGGAAAGAGAAGTTGGGTCCTAATGTCGAGCATGACTGCCCAAACACCTATCCGTTCACTGCTGCTAGGCTTGTGAATACATACGCTGTTGGATAATTCGATGGGGTCTTTGAGTGCTGGTGTGGCCTCATGGATGACCAAGGCTGACATTTCTTTCCTGTGATAGTCGTGGATGATGTCCCTCGATAACCTTCCCCATTACCCTGGTAGCAATCCTGGACCACAGGAGTTTGTTCAGGAGGTACTGAAATTAGAACAGAAGACATCAGCTGAAAATGACAAGAACAGAGAAATTTATGAAGCGATTTTAGACACCAACAGAACCGTAGTTTGGAGTTAGCAGTGCTTTCTTTCCAGATTGGCCACCGGCCATGCGAAGACCACAGATCCACACATTTACTGACTTAGGTTTTTTGGTAAATATTTAATTTTAAATGCAGGAAACGATAAAAAGGTTGGAATGCTCATATTGGAAATGACACTTGTATCAGTGGTTATTTTATGGCTCGTGGCTGGGTCTTCATGAAAACAACTCGTTAGGAGAAAGAGAGACATTCTGTGGTGAGGATGAAGGTGATAATAGGACAGACCCAGACCTCTTATTTATTTTCCTGGACTCTTTGTTTATGGAAAGGCAAAGCTTTAACTTACTGGGAGGTGGAGCAGAAACATCCTACCTCCAGAGTGGCAGGCAACAATATTGCACTTCTCAGGAAGAGCTAGAGGCAAAAACATTACTCCCCTGGAAGAAAATGAATCCTCTTGTGCTCAGGCTCCTTTACCACAGAAATAAATAGTCTCCTTCTCTCCCATTTAAGCTCAGTTCCATGTGAAGAGGAGGTAAGAGCAATGACAAACACACCCTCAGAGTCCAGCTCTACAGGCTTTGGCTAAAACAAGGGTAAAGATGTCTCCTTCCACAAAAAGCTTAGTGCTGAGTAAGAACAGCAGTTTCACCATGAGCTTGGGTTTCCCACAGAGAGAGGTCTCCGGCTACAGGCATGCAGTGAGTGCTGAAAACTAAGAAATGATTAGGAATATTGAGAAAATGCCCCAGCACTTGGGACCCCACTCCAGATACAAGATAACAGCAGTCCACTGCTGCAGAAAATCTGAATCATGGTTCACTTAATTTAAAGGCAGGAACAACCAAATGCAAACTCAGTTAGCATCTATGGCAGTGACTGATTTGCTCCACCCTGCATGCTGTCCAAGGCGGAAGGGGGACTCGTTTCAGAGCATAAATTGTATTGACTGTGACCTCAGCTGTTCTACACCTAACGTCCAGCAGTTTAATTAAAAATATTGCCAAACACATCCCCAAGCCAGAGGCCAAAAGTCACTATTAATAAAGCTATCAACAGAGCTAGACATAGTCCAAAAGATAGGGACTAACTGGAGATAATGAGAAAATAAAATGTTTTATGAACTCTGAAATGTTGGCGAGCAGTGGAAACACATAGAGCATTTCAGCAGCAGTAGAAACTGCAAGACAGAATAAAAGGCAACTATGAGAAGTAGAAAGATACTAGTGATGAAGTTCTTTCAGTAGGCTCACCACCAGATCAGACACAACTGAGGAAAGAATCAGTGACTTTGAAAATAGGTTAATATACTCATCCGCGATGCGCAAAAAGGAGTCAGAAATAACGTGAAACAAACCTAGAGAAGAATATGAGACAATATGAACAGGTCTAACATTTGGGTAATTGAAGCCCCAAAGAGGGAAGCAGAGAGGGAGAAAGTAGAAAAAAGAATTATTTAAATAATACTGGCTGCAAATTTTATAAAAGTCATATTGAAAATCAACAATCCACAACCGCAAGTAGCTCAAAGAAAGAAAGAAAGGCACCAGGCACAATCAAACTGCCGAAAAGCAGAGATGAGTGAAATTGTCAAAGGAGTAGGGGAGTGTCGGGGAGCACTAAGCCCAGAGGAACCCAGACTGCCCCTCTGAAACTATTGCAAGCAAAAGAGAACATTTTGATGTTAAATATGTAGCCGTCATTCAATGGAAACCAGGTTTATCAAATGCTTTTTCTTCCACATTCTTAAATTTTCCAACAAGACCCCTTGCATCCAAAGCCATGGCTTCGTGCTCATAATAGTGCTGTGATGTAACTACTGACGTTTGGCATTATCACTATTTGATTGACAAATTGATGCAAAGATCATGGGGTGATTCAAGAATGCCCTTTTCATAATAAATTGGTAATTAAAATCAGCTATCTTTAAAAGAAATAATGGAGTGACATCTTTCAGGTGGTGAAAGAAAATAAATGTCCACCTACAATTCTATACCCAACAATATAATTTGTTAAAACTAACAGCAAAATACATTCATACATACAAAAACTGTGCTACAAAAGACCTCTGGAACAAGACTAGAGAAGGTGAAACATTTGACCAAAAGAATGTGACACTAGATGGAAATGTTTATCTACAAAAAGAAACAAAAAGCACCCAGTGATGTCAATAAGTATGACAATTAAATGAGTGGATGAAAAACAGAGATTTCTTATATATAGTTTTAATATGACTATTCAGGGCAAAAACAGTATCAATGTATGGTGGGGTTTACAAGATAGTAGAAGTAAGCTGTGTGTGAATAATAGCATAATATTAGGGGAGGGAGGAAAAAAGCACAGTGTTATAAGTTTCATGGTACATCAAGTCAGATAAGATTATTTGAAGGTAGATTGCGACATAAAGATGTATATTGGGATCATTAGAAAAATTCTAAAAATATGAAAAACATTTTTCAACAAATGAGCAATTACTGGTGATAAAATATAACAGCAAGCATTCAGTGAAACAAAATAGAAGATGAAGGCACAAACAAAATTCAAATGGGACAAGCAAAAATAATTGGCTGGTCAATTTCAATCCAATCCTATTAACAATACCATTACACGTAAATGGCTCAGACATCTCAATTAAAAAGGCTGAGGAAACAGATAAAGTTGATTAATGTTAGTGAAAATAGAAGTACAGCAACTGTATCCATATCATTAAAAGCAGATTTTAGAATGAGGGGTGTTTCCAGGGTTAAGGAGAAACATTGCATAAGGAGAAAATGGTCATTTCCTTCAGAAGGCAATCCTAAGTGCTTCTGTGCCTACACAAAGCTCCAGAAGATAGGAAACACAAACCCAAAAACAGGTAAGTGTACAGCAAGAGATCTCAGCAAGCAAATGACTAAGTCACAGAAAGTTAGCAAGGACAGAGAACAGCTAAAAAGTCCTACGTATCTTGACTTAGCTGAGCTTCATGGAACATTCTACCTGATAAAAGCTGAAGGTGCATTTAACCTTAACCAAAACAACCATTTTCTGAACCATAATATGCACTTCAACAAATATGGATTGTTGAGCAAATAGAGCCCATGTCTGAGCTGAACAGAGCTCTGTGGCCAATGAAACTTGTGTTTGTGTTGATTCCACAAAGCAAAGAAGCCAAGATAGCACTTAGGGACGTGGCTCAGTGCTCACAACCACGCTCACCTGTGTCGTCTGTCTGTTCTGTGGATACGGGCGGGGAGTCACAGGATGGGATTTTGCAATACTCCCACCTCACGGAACTATTGGTTGTGAAGCACCACGGAGCAGATTCTCCATCAGGGTTACGACAGTAGTTAACATCCAAATCTCTGGAATAGAAGTAATTTTGAGTCCAATTTCTAAAAAGGTTAAATGTAGAAACCAGTTGACTGTCTTAATTCAATATTAATATGAATATTGTATTGATCCTATAACTATTACATGAACACACGTATGAATGGCGACATTAGATCCTTGTGTAGTCGACACCATGATGGCCTAAATTGAATGACAAATTCCATCAAACTGTGACAAGCATACTTCTCTTTCCTTGGATCGATGTTAGAATAGATGCCTTGACTGTGTAGAGTTAAACCAAAGATGCTTTGGCCAGAGGTCAGGTGCTGTGCCATGGACTGGACCTGCCAGACACTGACCGTTTCCATACTGTTGCTGAATTCAAAAGTAAACACCAACATCCACTTCATGGAACTGACAGATACAGCTCTGGGTTTGACCTGCTCTTGAATCTCAGTATACATGGGGTACAGGGTTTGGCCAGACTCATTGCCAGGATCCGCTGCCAGAATTTCCAGTTTACAAGTTCAGGAAAATGGCTCTAGAATTTGACTGTAACATTCTTGATGCTGCTGCTGCCGGTGGTCTGGGGAACCACACTTTGAGAAACAGTATTTTAGGAAAATAAATGCTAATTTTCACTTTACTTACTTGACCAGCTTTTACTCCAGAATACTTGAATCCTACTTCAAGGAATTTGATAATAACTAACCCTAAGGCAAAATAAATGGGATTTCACCATCCATAGCAGCAACCAGGTGAAATACAGGAGGGAGGCTCACTTGCAGGGGAAGTTCTCTGGTGTCCTGTTGTGTCTGTGTGGGGTCTGGTCACTCCAGCGCTGACAGGTGAGACCAGATGCCGTGACAGCCACTGTCCCACGATAGCTTTCACCTCTTCCCTTCAGACACTGATGTGTTGGACCAGAAGATGGTGGAGGTGTTGCTTGAGTAGGGGAAATAAGTCACACAGATCGTTTTTTATGTAAAGAATGCACATGTGGAAGGAATGAGAGGGTGATGCAGGCAGCAGCAGCCTGCCTACCTGGACTTCTGCTCTCACGAGGAACATGTGAGGTTCACACACCCTGGGCACATGCTTCTTTCTCCATTCACTTTGCTCAGTCAGCCACATGTCGATCAAACTCTGTAAAACTCACTCCCCAAATCTTCACGTACACCAATCATTCAGCTCCCTAGTGACTAGTAGCTTATCCACTGAACATGCACGACTGAATGACACACAACAGTCACAAAAGCAGACGAGAGAGAGAGAGTGTTTATGGAAAGAACACAAATGTCTCCAAGAAAAAGCATGTGCATCCAGGAAGCAAGATATTCTTGAGGAAATTCAAAGATGATGAGAATAGAGCTAACATTCCCAAGAAAGCTCTCTTCTGGAGCTCTTTGGTGTCCCAAGGAATGACTGTTAGAGCTGAGGGCAGTCAGCCTGCTGAGTCCATCTCACCCCTGACAACTGACCCTGTCTCGAATTTTAGTCCCTTCAAATTCTAACTGCAGGGTGATACTAGAAGGTTCTTTCCTCCAAGTCGTTCTGCCACAAACTCTCTCTCCTACTGTCTCCAACACGCTGGAAAAACTGAACTGGACACCGAATAAATCTTTTTGTTTGCAAAGAAACAATTAAGAAAGACTGTGGTTAATGATGAAACCCATGGTCTAACAGGTAGATATCTGAATTCCCGTTAGCACCAGAGTGAAGTAGGAATCAGAGATGCCTTCCCTGAGCCCTCATTCAGCTGTATCCTGAAGAGACAGGACTTGCTGAAGAGAGACACAGCAGGCAGATGCCCTGGCCAATTACCTACATAACCAGTAAATTGCTTTAGAAGAGCAATAAAATAGAGCCACATCGCCTGGAAGTCGGCAAACAGGCACTCATCCATTGTTTTCTTTGTGCCAAGGGAAGGACAGGTCAGAATCCCTGAGGACTGGGTGACGCCATACTTACCACAGCGTGGGATGTCGCAGAATTCCCAGCGTTTCTGGGGATTTGTGGTAAAGCACCAGGGGCGGGGCTCTCCATCAGGGTTGCGACAGTAATTCCCCTTCAAGTTCTTGCTTGGAAATCTGAATATGTGAGACAGGTTTTAACAGCACTGCACGTTTATACTCACGATGACAGCAGTATCATGTGAGCCAGGGTTTAGCTCCTGCTGTGTTCTGGGCAGGGAAGACACCTGAGTCCATGACTGGGTAAAAGCTGTCCTCAAAGAGGTACCAGTCTCAGGAGAAGCATGCTAATAGTTTATACATGCCAAAAAGCCCCAGAAGAAGCATGCTAATAGCTTACATGTGCAACATTACTGAACAAGATCAATAATTATATAATTTTTGGCCATCTGGAAAACTGATTTAAGCAAACTCCAGTTACTCATGTGCAAATAATCACACTTTAAAAAAAATAATAACAATTTTTAAAACAATTTTTTATAAGTTTAAATAACATTTTTAAAAACAATTTTTAAAGTGTTCACTGACTAGAAATAGCCAACAAGTACAGACAAAAGCTGGCATCCTCAGAACTTAAAGGAACGGTCCTTCTGGTATACCAGATTCTAGTCTTGCTAGCTTCTAGGTTTGTAGAAACTCAAAGATGAGCTGTGCCTCTGTGAGCAAATACCAATGGCACACCCTTCGCACAGTGAGTGGTTAGGACTGTGAGACAGAAAATGAGCTTTGGTGACATTGTTTTCCAGACCCTCAAAGCACAAAAGGAAGAAATAAAAAAACTTAGCAGAAGTTTTCTCTTTGAAGCTTATGTTTACAGACAGCAGATTCTGGATCTCACTGACCAGCCTGAGCAAATAGAAGCAAATGACTTTGAACTAAGCTCCAAAGCTAGCCGGAGACTGAGAATGCAGAGGAGAGGTGTCTTACCCAGAGGCAGGGACCCACCCCAGAAATTCAAAGCCAGATATCTGAGAAAAGCTTCCTCATACTTAGGATGAACTTCCCAAAGCCTGGCCAAGGAAACTTAGCCAAGGCCACCATTCCTTGTCCTCAACCTCCTATTGAAACAATAAAATAGAATTCATTTTCTCTTAACCCCGGCTCCTAATACCTATGTAACCTCGGCTTGTTCTTACTTGGACGGGATGTATCCGTGGGCATGTGGAGTCTGAGAGTCCCAGGCCTGGCACTGGATTCCGGACATGGTCTTGGAGATTTTGCCCACATAATGTTCTCCACTGCAGTGCATACACTCATCTGGGTAGAAAGTGGCAGAAGGAAAGATAGGGTGAAAAAACACTCAAATGGATGAAGCAAACAAGAGTAAAACGCCCATAGCAATGCTTCTAATGCCATTTCCCGCGCGTTCACCTATACTTTCCAACTACTGCTTGGTGATAAAATGGGCCATGAAGACGCTACTCACTAATACAGTCTACAATGTCATTCTTTCCAAGAGTAAAAACAGCAGATTTTGGTCAACCCCCACTTAGCTGTTAGATTCATGACCGAGTCCACACACCTGTACCTGACCCTAAGTGGACAGGAAGGACATGGAGAGAGGGTCCTATGTTCGTAGGCGCCTGCCAATCTTTCATGGGGTTATCCATAGCTGGCATTTTCGTGACCATAACGATCCTTATAAATTCCTATTACGGCATTGTGATCAGATGGATGGCTACGAACAAGGGGGCTCTCTGGACTTACAAGCCGGAGATTTTGCTTGTGCCCTTGGCTTTGTTGTTTTCTCAGAGGACAGCCACTTTTCATTTATAGTTTAGAAGCATAACAAACTGATTTTGGCTTTCTTACATTATTTAAAAACTCAAATCTTTTTAGCATTGACTTTTAAGGTGGACCGTTCCATTGATCGGACTATGGAAACAATGCAGTGTTGATCTACCATCTGGTTCATTGCTTGGCTTCAGTCAAACAGTACCGTCGCCACTTCAGTGACTTAGTTTTCTGGGCTATGCACTTGCATTTGAACTATTTAATTGCAAATCAGCTGTATGCTGTGCAGGCGCTTTAAGCACCGGAAGTTTGTATCTGGAGTTTAGATCTCATTTCATCTTTGGAGGTGTTGGAGCAACATTAATAAAAATATTGTCATCAGTGGCAGAGGTCTGTGCAAGCTTTTGGTGCTTTCTGAGAGGTGCACACGTCTTTCCATCTTGTCCAATAGGTGCTAACTGATAACTAACAGCACTCCTTGGGAGACAGCTGACAGCAAGTGACCACATGGACAGGTGTGGACAGATTTTCTCGAGCTTCCCTGCTGACCTTCGCACTGGGGGATGTTGCAGAAGTCGTATCTGAGGTTGGGGTCTGTGGTGTAACACCAGGGCCCCTTTGGGTCGTTGTCTGGATTGCGACAGTAGTTCTCCTCCAGGCCCTCTTGTGGGAACTCTTCAGGGGTATAACTGTGGAGGAAGGAGAGCAGTCACTGATAGCACTTGCACGTCAGTGTGGTACCTGCGAAACGGGCAGCTTCTGCCTGAGGCAGCAGGCTTTGTCACCCACCACAGTAGGGCTGATGGTTGAGCTTTGTGCAGGGCCCTCTCTGTTTCTCACAGACGGCTGTCTCCAGCAGTCACTGGTGTGGCCTAAACTACCATGTTGCCACCACGTCTGAGCGGCCGCCTGTCCACGCAGTGGGCAGAAAGGGAAGATCTCAGGCTCATCAGAATCCTCACCTTCCCGACCGGCTCTGTCAGCCACCTCTCTCTCTGCAACTGGGTCACTACACGTGGGTGTGAAAACTTTCAATGGGGCGTTACGCCGAAACCTTTCTGTGCCTTCTTTCATTTAGTCTTAATAAAATCCCCATCAGTGTGGGGTTAGCCTTGTTTGGCAGGGGAGGAAACACAAAACAGAACGGGTCTTGCCTGAACTTGCATGAGAAGTAAGTGGCAAGTGAGGGGCTTAAAGTTAGAGCTGCGGGCCCCCAGGCGCTCCCTTCAAACAGGGCAGCACTAATGTGTGTGGGGGGGGTCGGGGGGGCTCATGCTCCCTGTCCATTCTGGGGGTGAGTTGCTCCAGAGAGAGAAGAAATAAGATCAACAGCACAAGACTTGAGTCCAAAAAAGGTAGCTTTTGTTTTGGTTCTTCTGTGGGTGTGTGCTAGGTAAAATGTAGCCTTTCAAGACCTGGCCTCCTCTGCTCGCTGGGGAAGCCCACCTGAGCCTGAGAGCCAGCTCGGCCACCTGACCGTTTGGTTGAATTGTTTTACCTCTGTGCCCTGGACATATTAGCTCTGCCCTCCTCCGAGGGACATGATACGGTAATGGGGACCTTGAGAGCAGATAACAGACACTATACTGAGAACATGAGGCCACCGAACACTGTATCGGGGGAGACGAGAGAGGAGACTAGAGTGGGTGGGGGTGTGCGAGAATCTGGCTTTCGCTTTAGTTTTGTTTCCTCTTTGGCTCCGAAATGTTCTAGTGGACACAGCCAGAGTGCTGGTTGCTCTGCCTGACTCTGGCTGACCCAGTCCTGCGCACAGCCGTCTCAGGTCATTCTCAGACTCAGCCTAGAACCCGCGGTTTGCTCGGTCTTTGTTACTCGGCTACGGTGTCCTGAGTCTCCTGGGAGGGCGCAGACACAAGCTCAGGAAAGCGGCCAGCTTCCATTCTCCTGCTACAAACCAGCCCCCCCCCCCGCCCCCGCCATCATCTCTGGAATGTTCTCTCTGAACCTGTTCACTCATGCATTCTGTTTGGACTTAGAGGCATGCTCCTCCTATGTCCAGCAGGTGGACACAGGTGAAGGGAGCAGCTTACTTGGGTTTGTGCGGAGACGAGCTACTCCACTTTTGACAGGTCACGCCACCTTTTGTCTTGGATATTGTCCCCCGATAGTTCTTCCCGTTTCCGGTCTTGCACTCTGAAAGATAGACTGAGAGAAAGAGCCGATCAGGTTCTTGCCAGCGAACACCAGGGGGAGGCTGCGCTGGTTGGCAGGTAGGACGTGTGCGCGGGAGACCACATCTCTACTCCGGAGAGCCAACTTGTAGCTTTGTGCAGCTTACAAATATTTGCTTCAGTGCCTCCAGCTCATACAACTGTTGAGCAGCAATTTCAGTATTTATGACCACCAGCCCCGACCACTTGCGCATGTGTCTCATTGCCTGAATGGACGCTCGCGTGTCCCTGGTGGTGGTGTCAAATAATGACAAGCCATATTTCCACTCTAAAAGAAGTGTACCTTAAAAAGGACATTTGTCATGTAGTAATTTACGAGCTTATTACAGTAAAACAAATTCTAATGTTTTGAAATGAACGGACTGAGTAAAACAAATCCTAAACATAATAGTAACACAATATTGTAAGGGCTAGAAGTTCCTTTCAAGACTGATCTATTCCCTCTTCCAGATGAAGAAATTTAGACGCCAGCAGAGAAGGAGCCCTATCAGCTAAGTCAGAGCTGCTGCCAGCGGGCCCTTGGCCTGGGGCTTGGGGTTGGAAGTAGCCCCCCAAGACCAGCTAGGAGCTGGGGCTGCAGGAAGCACAGAGCAAACACCCTCCCTGGTGGAGCTTACTGTCTAGTGGAGTCAGGGCGTGTCTAAGTCAGTCAGGACTAATGGCAGCAGAAAAGGAAAGTGAATGGGGCCGGGGGGAGATGTTTTAGGCAGAGGCCAAACACACTGCTATTTCTTGAGGTTTCAATATTTTGAATATGAAAAAGCACCACATGGGTTATAAAGCTGTTGTTACGTACTTTACGTGTTCACAGCACACATTAGCCACTGCCCACCCAACTCAGTGGCGCCATCCTGTCTTGGAAACACACTGTCTGCGGCCCGCTGGTGACCCACTCGCGGCCGCCAGCCCCTTTCGTGGGTGCCCACCCACTCCGCCCTGCCAGTTGGGTTATGAGCTTCCCGAGATTCAGTTGCATTTATTGTCAGCTCTTTATACCACTAAATGTGGAAAAGAGACTCAAAACTCAGACAAGAATATAAAAATGTATAGCTTCAGTGTTTTAAGGATTTGAAAGAGATAAATTATACCACAAATGGCTATCACTTCACTGAGGGCAACCTCTCTCATGAGTGACCAAGAGTGTGAGAAAATCATAAAATAAAAAGTTATTCTATGGTCAGACTGATTAGTGGTATTCTCTAGACCTTGCTCTACTATGAAGAGGAAGTTGATTACTACAGGCAGTGCACCAGAGCGTGGCTTATGCAAGAAAAGCACCAGGTACCTTCTGTTGGTGACCCCAGACGTTAAAAAAGGAAAAAAGCATCTGTTGCTCATCAAAAACACCCAGGTAGGCCTCCCTGGTGGCACAGGGGTTACAGTCACAGCGCTATCAAGCTATCGCCAGCCATGCGACACAAGTCCAACCCCAGCCAGGGAGTGACCGATAGGTGTGACAGACCTCTCCTGTCTCCCTGCTGCTCCCCTAAGCAGTGGATTTCATAGATCTGCCTGTTTTGCTCCCCACTCTGTCTCTGGGGAGTCCTCTCACCCTCACTCTGGCCTGTACCCAGTTCTTGTGTGAATAAATAAATCTTAAAAAAAAAATAACAATGCCGGCTCTCCCTGAAGGTGCAATGGGTTAAAGCACCACATTATGAAGCTCTCCAAAGCCACTGCAGTACGAGTTTAATCCCCGCCCCGGGAGGCCAGCAGACCTTTCCTGTCGCTCCCACTGCTCCCCTCAGCAGTGTACTTTGTCGATCTGCTTACTTTGCTCCCCACTCTGTCTCTGTTGAATCCTCTCACCCCCTGCACCTCTGGCCTGTACCCCAGTTCTGTGCATACAGGTCAGAATTGTGGGGGTGGTGAGAGGCTTCAACAGCGACAGAATGGGGAACAGAACAGACAGATCGACAAAGTACACTGCTGAGGGGAGCAGTGGGTGAGTCAGGAAAGGTCTGCTGTGCCATGTAGGTCACCTCCGGGGCAGGCGGGGATCAAACTTATGCTGAAGTGGCTTTAGCTTCTCAGTGCTGTGCTTTAACATACTGTGCCACGAGGGAGGGCCCATAAATAAATTAAAAAAAAACAACAACAAACAGTGCCCAGGTAAACTGGATTTTTCATAGAACATGTAAAGTACTAAAGGTAGATATCTATCATCTATTATGATTCCCTACCTTAGCCATGTTTTGTTTTGTTTTTTTTAAAGATTTATTTATTTGTGCATACAGAACTGGGGTACAGGCCAGAGGCTCAGGGGCGGCGAGAGGCTTCACCAGAGACAGAGTGAGGAGCAGAACAGGCAGATCGACGAAGTACACTGCTGAGGGGAGCAGCGGGCGGGTCAGGAGAGGTCTGCCACGCCCTGTGGTCACCTCCGGGGCAGGCGGGAATCGAACTCATGCGGAAGCGGCTTTAGATTCTCAGTGCTGTGCTTTAACCCGCTGCGCCACCAGGGAGGGCCATCCATGTTTTAATTAATTGATCAGTTATCTGGGCTTAGTACTTCGAGGGCACCTACAGCAAACTGATGCTCACAGCCAAGCCTGGATGTGATATCAGTAGATCTTGCCTGAGACGTATCATCACTATAGACAGTTGCCTTCATCTGAAGCATAAATTCAGGTCTCTTTGGAAGCCTGAGACCTGGGAGATAGGAAACAGCTGGCCATGGGAAGGGAAGAGGGTGTCCCCTGCAGGAGAGGCGTGGCTTGGCGGCTGGGAGGGGCAGATCGCTGTCACTGCAGCGCACAGGGCCCTTGGCCTTGGGTAGGTGTCTGAGTGGTGGGCCAAGGCCCAAGGGCACCCGGGAGGGGCCAGCGGCGGCAGGGTCCAGCCAGTGACGGTGCGGCCGGGACCCAAGGGCAGCAGGTGACAGATGTGCAGAGGGCTGACCTGACTGTTCCCAGAAAGCCCTGGCAGGCACCGCAGGGTGGGTGGGCGGCCCACAGGAAGAAGCAAGCAGCAAAACTGACTTTTGACTTTTCACCTCTCTTCTGTTTGTACGTACCTGCCAGCGTTTATCTAACCTTCGCCCCTCTCCACCACCTTGAAAACCAGCAACTATTCAGCGACTCAAACTGAGCTCCCAGTCACCCCCATGCGCCTCTGGTTAACAATTTACTAATATCATATTTAAATATTAGCATTTTGAAGGGAGAATCCACTGGGCTTTCTTCGTTTTCATTTGGTGGCAAGTAGGTAACTCTGATAAGACCTCACTGTGCATAGGAACTAGTAACTTCACCCCAGGAGCCTTAGATTTTATCTGTTCTGTAATCTCACGTAGTCCGCTAAGTGGAAAGAGAGGGCCCGAGGGCCCATAGCGGGGACAGGGGCGGGGCCCAGTGTGCAGAATAACCCTAAACTGAAGAAACTCTTTTAATTTTTTTGTGGGGGGGTGAGATTAAAGAAAGTGCAGCAAGTCACTGTCAAGAATGCATGAGGCAGGGCCTCCCTGGTGCACAGTGGGTTAAAACGCAGCGCTATGAAGCTCTCAGCCACTGCAGCACCAGTTCGATCCCCGCCCAGGGAGTGACCCCCAGGGCGCCGGCACTCACTGCCCTCTCAGCCTGTTCGACCCCCCACTCTGTCTCTGGGGAATCCTCTCACCTCCTGCACCTCTGGCAGGTTACTAGTTCTAATGTGCATAAACAAATAAATCTTAAAAAATAAAAACCAGATAGGAATCCCAAATATTGGGATTGTTGATCTAGAAATTCAAGGAAACTAGAGAAAAAGAACACTAACTCTTACACATTTCCCAAAAGCATTTCAGAGTCTGGGAGAAATACAGGCCATACACCAAAAGAGTAGAATTTTGTGAATAAAAATAAGGACCTGTCTCTACTTCGATGATACTGAGGATTAAAACCAAGTCCACTCCTGCAGCACAGAAGCCAAAGTCCCAAGAATTTAGGGTCCCCACTCTCGGTCACATACAAATTTGAATATCTGATATTCAGGTCCCCTGAGTTAGGAGAGATTTTGTAAACCCAATTCTTCCATTTTTCAATCAAGCAAAATGAGACCTGAGAGAAGAGGCCATAGGCTCGGGGGACAGGCCGTGAGGCTCGGGCTGCGCCTTCTCTGCCCGGCCTCACGCCTCCCCCGGCCCCCCCAAGCCCCCGCGAGGCTGGGGCTGGAGCTCGAGCCCATGGCCAACAGTGAGGAAACAGGAAGCCAGAAGCTCCCCCACTGTCAGCTGTCAATAACCCATCAGGCTCCAATCCGAGAGTGGGGCCCCACTGGGAGGGGCGGCGGGGGGGGGGTTCTGGGGCGCTCCTCGGACTCTCTAGTTTTGTAGAATGGTCAAAAAGAACGCATGACCCGATAAAAATTCTGTTCATGTATTTAAGATCGCGCTGGCCTGATAAATGAGCCAATAACATCGGGGTGAGGGGCCGGGAGAGGAGGGAGCGAGAGCAGGCGAGGCGGAGGGGACAAAGAAAATGGACTCACTCTTCTTCTCAAACAAGACCACGTCCCTTTTCCTGACCACCGCGGAGGACTTGCTGTTCTCGGCGCTGAGCACGCACCGCGGCTCCTTGCTGTGGAACTCGAAGGACCTGCGGAGGCAAAGGCGCGCTCAGCCCAGCCGCAGAGGCAGGGAGGCGCCCCGCGAGGGCGAGGGGAGGGCGAGCCCGCGAGCCCAGAGGACGGCGTCTCCTGGCGCCGGGGCGGGCACTGTCCCTGGGCTGCGCAGGGCGAGCGCCCCTCCGGCTCCCCGCGGGCGCCGCCCTCCCCTCCCGGCGCCCTCTTTGCTCGCCGCGGTACTTGCTTTCCTGTTGGGAAAGACCCCGGCTCGGGCTCCCGGAGGCCCCAAGTGCCGCCCCCCTGGCCTGCTCTGTGTGACCCCAGCCCTGCGGGCCACCGCCCCCTTCACCTCCTGGGGTCCGCGGGCGCCTGGCGCAGCCCCCCCCCCCTGCCTACACAGCGCCCTCCTGCGCCGCTAGCTCGTCTTCCGCGGAGCCTCAGGGCCAGATTGGGGGGCCCTTGCTGGCTGTCCCTAAATGGCTGCTCCTCCGCCCAGTTCTGTGGCTGCTTGGGGAACACGAAGAACCCGCACCGCGTCTCGTGTCCCTGTGAAGGTGGGTCACTCTACTGGGCTCCAACTACAGACTGGAGCTCTGTCTAGTTTTGCTCCTTGGAGTCTAGAGCAATCCTAGTCTCTCTACCTGGTGATGACGCTAAACTCTACAGCTCGGGACGACAGTGGCTGATGGAATGTGTGAGAGGGAGTAACGTCTCTGCAGACCCTTGTTCCAGCAGACCCCAGGGACTGCTGTCTGCTGTCAGGCAGGAATGAATCCAGCTTCCACACTGGTCCTGCGAAATTTTCTTTCCTCTTAAGTCCTGTCTTTGTTAAGAAATCCGCAAACAAATTTCTGATCACCGAAACAATAGCCACGATCCGCGGTGGCTGTCAGCTGGGAGAGCCACGCACGATACCTGCAGGTGAACTCAGCCTCCTCCTCGCAGCGCGCAGCACAGTCTGCTATGCTCCCCAGCTGCAGCCGCTTGGCCCCCACGGTAACCAGCGAGGCCCCCTGGGTGTTCACATAGGCGTCCAGGGGGTCCGCCTGACCTGTGCAGCGGTAAAGGGGGACAGTTGATCCAGGGGCCAGTAGCACTCTTTAATTATCGTGAGTCATCATTTGCACTGTAGCAATCCAGTATATCTGGGTCCTTTATTAGCAGTGGAAGGGGGCCTAGGAGTGAATCTGATCAGAAACCCCGCCACGAACTCATCGTAATATTGAAAGAACCACTGGGCTGCTAGAGTAATAGATCAGAACTAGCCAACAACTTCTGTGTCACAACGCTAATGGAACTGAGGTCTTGGGTCTGCTGGCTGTGGACATCCGGTCCAGTGGCCAGCGGGTAGATCGATACCGGTGGCCTGCCTGCTGACATTGGTGCTGAGTTACCCACTCGGCAAGGACAGAACGTGGAGTCCCGAATGCGAGCTCCAGCATACAAACGATGTTTGTGACACACACTTTAACGGATGTGATTAACTTTCTCTCAGTGGTTCTACCTCACACTAACAAGGGTTTGGGTGACTTGATCATGGTGAGACAAGTAGAGCCTGCACTGACCCTCAGCTGCCATTCAAGGTCGTCTTTGCTGGGCTCTGCCCCGTGACCTGTGACCATTAACAAGAGCAGAGAATGGCTTCACCTTGATGACAGGTATCTGACATTTAGAAGAAACTGTGAAAGGCCATGGAAAAAGCCTGGGCCTTCGTTTTCAGTGAGATCAAAGCCCCCCGGGACCTTGCGTGTCACCAAGCAGGCTACGCAGCGTGTTGATGCTACCCCAGGCCCTTGGCCCTGGTGGCCACCCCTGACCCAGCTCACAGCTCTGTCCCAAGCTTCGGGCTGTTGACCTCTGAACTTTGGGTAGGAACACGCATTATTTTCACAGGGTAGGAGGCCAGTGGAGGCTGAGAAAATGAAGCTAGCGAGGTTTCCCAAAGTTTGCTGAAATGGGATTAGGCAACATGGTGACCTTGACCACTACAAGGGAGGGACTGGGCCGAAGTCAGGCTGAGGGGGCTGGAGGTGACTGGGAGAGGCGCTGAGGCAGCCTGAGGAGACAGGTCTTTCTGAGGCTGCTGTGAAGGAAGCACTTCCATGAAGAATCTGCAGAAATGGGTTTTATTTGAGTTGAGACGTTCTGGAGCGTGTTGGCCCCTCCTGGCAATCCCAGCAGGAAGGAGCATTAAGGGTCAGATCGTCACCCTCAGAGAGGCCACCCCAGCCACCTGGGTGGGCACTCACTACCCAGGGCATGCCCGGGACAGTCAGACGGCGCTGCCCCGCCCCAGCCTCTGCCCCCACCTCCCTTGCTGCTCATGTCCAACCCGCCAGGGTGGGAAGCTGTGCGCAAACCTCCAAAAAGCACCTGATCAAGTGTCTCAAACATGACGGAACACTAGGCCTGAAGGCACACAGTCAGGTCTTTATCTGCATTTGCTCTCATTTCCAGAAGACTGTGCTTTGGTAAACTCATAAAATACAAGGCAGAAACTCTGTAAGTGTATCCTCGAGAGCATTAAATTAAGCCTTTTGAAGAGTTCTCAGACTTGGGAGCAGCTAGTGGTGGCAGAGCCCACATGTGAGAACCCCCATCTGTGTCCCTTCCGTCAGGTGAATCCCTGAGCCTGTTGAGACGTTGGTCACTGGAGCTGCTGTTGGTCACTGGAGCTGCTGAGACCCCCAGCTGGTGTCCCAGATGCGTCCTGGCAGGCGCTACCTTTTTCTCTGAAAATCTTTCTCCTAATACTCTCTTAAGCCCAACTCCATGCTCCTATGGCAATGGGCTGTACTATGGTTTATTTGTTAAACCATATTTACAGATCTTTTTAGACTAAATGTGGATACGCTTGTCACCCAAGCCTCACTGCGGCACTGACAGGCTACTGGCTGCAGCATCCAGAGCACGCGGGCGCCTGTGGCTTCTGCAGGCACGAGGAGCAAGCCTATGTTTGGAGACTCGCATCAGACACAGCAGACGGGACTGGCAGACAGTGGCCTGGTCAGGAGCAGCAGGCAGGCAGCAGATGGCCATTGTTTAAGATTGAAAGTGAGGAGCTCGTGACACCCAAACCAAAATGACCCGTTTTAGTCACACTCGGAACCAGGAAAGAAGACTAGCAATTTTGGGCTGGAGAATATGTTAGCTTCTTTTGGGGGGGGGGGCAGCGTCAATACAATAACCATCATGTAGTTCACTCTTTTAGAAGTAAAAAGTCATCCATCATTTCCTCTGCCATTTGGCTCCACTGTTCACAGTGAAATTAAACCTATGACTAGAGAGTTTGAGTCAGGAAACTCACAAGCCAAATACTAAATGGAACGTGTGCACATAAAGACATCAGGTATCTATGTCAATGCACAGCTAGGAAAATGTTATATTGATCAGAGTAAAAAAACCTTTAAGTCTTACCTGATTTCAGAAATAAAAGAAGTAGAAGGACCATGTCCTTTTGTTCCATCTTGACACCAGCCAGACTTTCCAGAAAGTGGTCTGTCCCAACCCCAAAATGTTTGACTTGCAGGAGAGGAAATGCACCCACAGTCAAGACCCAAAAGTAGTTAATTATTCCCCAGGGCCCAGCACCGCAGCGGGAGGGCAAACATTACCTGAAGAGAGGATGTTGAAACATTCGAGTGGCCAGCAATAGCTGCCGGGAAGTGGGCAGCAGTCCTGTCCCCCGCCCCCAACTCCCCTCTCACTAGCAGGCCTCACCTTTCCCGCTGAGCCCAGTTTCCTTCTCTTCTTTGCTTCCCTTCCCCTTGGGTAGACACCAGATCGATTGCCCGGAATCGTGTCAGCAGCTTCACTCCGAGAAACTCGCCTGGGAAACAGGCAGCTCTTGCCACTGTCGGGGTGAGGTGGCTCGGGCTATGGAGGCTTCACCTCCCAAGCCTGCATGGCTAATAGGGTAAAGCAAATAGACCCATGGCCCCCTAAAAGAGACTAGGCAAGTGCCTTTTGTAATTCTCCAAGTTTCTTTATTCCCAGTGGACTGCGTGTTTTCTGACTGAGTTCTGTGCATCTCTTTCCCCAGGTGAATTCATAATGCAACATGCTTGCATCCTCATGTCCTTTTAAGTACCTCCACTAGTTTTCAGTTACTGAGAGAGTCCCAGTGGCAGAAGGAAACAGTGTCTCTTGTCACTGGGGTCTGAGAACCTTCGTGACCTGGTATGTTCAAGCGTGTTGTTTTGGCTACCAAAGAACCTTAAAACCAAATAGCTAAATTCAGTCAAATGCAGAGGACAAACAAATGAATCAGCTGGCACAAACAAGCCGGGCCACATCCAGATGAGTCAGTACCAGGGCCAGTCCCAGAATACCTCGACTGCTGCCCTTTTTAAATTGACCTTATTTCTTCGACTCTAGCCCAAATTTTCTCTGGAAATCAAACCTAGGACTGGTACGCTCACCCAGAAGCTCTTTTAAGATGGATGGGCTGGAACCCACGTTCCTAGGACAATAACTCTCTCTAGGCTTAGGGAAGAGCCCACAGTCCTTATGAGACCACTAGGAAAAAAAAGGCACAAATGCATTCAATGAGGTGGCTTAACCTTGTTTTCAGTGCTGCTGTTTTTCAAAAAATGTAAACAGTACCCAGGAAACAGAGAGCACTGCTGCAGAGAAAGGAAGTTGTTGCTGACCCTCTAGACTTTGAGTTCCAACAGCTTCTCCAAGATTGACTGCGCAGTCTGCTCCTTGCTGGTGTTAAAGAACTTTGATTAAGCAGTCATTGCTGAGGTCAACAGTTTGTTACTAAACAATGGACTCACGACTCAATGTGCAAAAATGAATTACCATGACCTCAAGGGTAGAGAAAGGAAAGAAGCTTTATTGTGAACTGCTAGGCAAGGAGATGGGAAATGAACTCCTATCTGCCTCACTGTTAAGAAAGAAATGAGATTATATAGCTTTGGGAAATAGGATTCAGAACAAAGGAATTAAATTTGGGTGTAAGGATTAGCTTAAAGGCAAAGGAACATGGCCTAGAATAAGTATGATGAAGCTTTTCTTCAGATAATTGGTGTTTTGAATTTCTTTTGATGAAATGCTCTCCTCTGAGTAGCTGTTTCTCATGGTGTGCAGTCTCTTGGCTCTGGTCTGTTCAGTATGTCAGCTCAAGTTTCATTGCTTCTACTTGTTCGCTCTGGATCATCTGAAACATTCAAGAAGTAAAGAAAAGCAATTGTTTAATGACGATCACTGTTAGTCAGCTGTGCCGGCCTCAGAAATGGCAATATTTGGATACCATTTGCTAGAGATCGAAAATGATGATGACTGGTATATTAAAGAATTTGCTTTAATAATAATATGCACAGATTTATGTAGAATTTCAACAGCAATGGAAAATAGAAAAATAGTGGAAATAAAAATTATGAAATCAGAGATGGAGGCTTCCTTCAGTGGGGTGATCAGTAGACTAGGCACAATTCAGGAAAGAATAGAAAGTAAATTAATAGACATTATCCAAACACACATAGGGAAAAAAAGAGCAGGTAAGAGGTGTGAGGTAAGAGGTATGAGACAAATAGGATGACCAACAATCAGGGTAATAATCACACATAATGAAGTTGCTCAAAGCCAGAAATAAGAGAAAGCTTTAAAGAAGCAGCAGAAAAAAAAAATGTTAGTACAAAGGCGAAAGCATAAGATCACCATTCAGCAACAAAAAATAGAAGGTAATGGAATTAACATTCTTAAAATGGTTTTTTTTTAGAGTCACATTCATTTCAATCTCCAATGAATATTTTAGTTGAAAGCAAAATAACAAACTTTCAGACATAAAAAAAGTAAGACTTCACTGTTAGAAAAATTATAAGAAATGTAAATGTATTTCTTTTAAGAAGGAATATGACCCCAGATAAAATTTACAACCTAAAAAGAAATGAAGACCACCAGATGATAAAATAGATACATTTAAATGATTGTATAAGTGTTATTTTGTAATTAGAATGCTTTCAAACATGACCAACAGTTCATGGCAAAAATACTACCTGTGCCTTATTAAATTTATGGCATAATAGATGTAAATTTTGAAGAGTTATTGTACAGCAGTTTGATAGAAAGAGTAGAAGTACAGTGTTGCAAGTTCCCTACAGGACACATCAAGTATAATATTATATGGAGAACAATAAGAAAGGTGAAAATACTAAGCTGGTGGTAGGCTAAATTCAACCACATTAAGAATTACAGTAAATATAACTGGTCTAAATTTCTCAGGTAAAGACTATGAAAGCAAATATAGCATAGAAACATTTTGAAAAGAGAGACATAATGGTTGTATTCATATTGGCAAATATAGACGTAAGAAGGAGGAACATTTCCAGTGATAAGATGATATATTCCATAGGGGTAAAGAGTCATTTATTCTAGAAGAAATGAAGCCCTATGCATGTCTGTACCTCACAGAGAGCTCCCAAAGATAGAAAGTTAATATCACATAAATAATAAATAGAATACACCATAGCCACAGGTGTTAGTATCACCAACCAGCTCTCACATTATAACTTTCTCAAAAGGTATACATTCTAGTCATGGGATTGTAGTATTGTAGACCTGCATTTAAGTGTTCTGAAACTTCTGTGTGCATTTCATGGAACATAAGACACACAGCCCTAAGGTTGATCTGCTTTTCAACCTCAGTTGAAGTATACTTGGGTTGAAGTATACCTGGGAGTGGAGGACTTATACATAATTGGTCTACACACATTCCCATTGTTCCTATGGAACAGGTTCCAAGGATGTGCATTTCCCAGAGGCCCCCGATGCTTCTGCTCATCTGAAGAACCACACTTGGAGCATCAGTGAGCAGGATATTAGGGACACATTTCTTTCCACTGCATAGGACTTGCCCACATTTCACTCCAGAATACTTGCCCTTGGATTCCAAAACAACTAAAAGCAAGACAAAGACATTGGAGATTCCCATTCCGTAGGATCTGACAGGTGAGGTGAGACAAGAGAGACACTTACTCAAAGGAATAGTTCTATGGGGTCCTTCTGTGTTTGTGAGGGGTCTGGGCCTCACTGACATATGAGCTCAGATGCACCACCTGTCCTTGAAAGCTTTCACCATTATAACCCCAGACATTCATCTGTGGGATCAGGAGGAATGGGAAAACAGAAATGCTTTTAAAAATAAATGATAACAAATGCACGGGATTATGGTGATGGCACACGGGTGACTTGGTGATGGGAAACCCGCGGGAATTACAATTGCGATGGAAAACAAATGTACAAAATGATGTAAAAATAAACTTTTGTAATTAAAAAAATACATTAACAATAATAAAAAAATGATAACATGAAAGGGGAAGATGAATGCAGGGAGAAGCAGTCTGACTACCTTTTTCCCCCTTCCCTCAAAATTGGGGTCTTGAGACCCATTGCTCACTTTCACACAAAACAGACATGCTGGAATCTCCATCTAAGAGACCAAAATATGGGGAACACCTCCAGGCACAAGAAACTCAGAGTAGATGCCTTTGACTCTCTCCCAGCAACTTTGAAACCCACAAACGAAACAATAAACTTCATTCCAGATGGAGGATCATAAATCAACACTAAAGTTGCCTGTTGTGATGCAATCGCCACATACCAAAGATTTCCAACACTTCAAATATAAAAAACCAAGATCTAGGTGTCTGGTCAAAGACTCCTTACCTGGTTCACAGGGATACGGGGCACTCGGAACTTGGGGCCCAGACCTAGAATCCGAGCCATCATCCTCTGTCTCGGGGCATGTGCTCAGCCTGCAGTACTCCCAAGGGACTTCCGGGTCACTGGTGAAACACCAAGGACTGGGGTCTCCTGAAGGATTCCTACAGTAGTTCATGCTCAAGTTCCTGGAAATCCACAACAGTGGAGTCACCACAGAGCTCCCCCAACAGTAGAGAGTCAGGCAATTTTCAGGGTGCCTGCTTGCTCTGAATTTTCTTACCACTGAATTTTCTTACCACCATGTGCTCACAAGTGACTTTGCAAAGTTGGCATTCAAGTATAACAGAGATGCCACCTGACCATTGTTTTCTGTGGCATTTCGTGAGACATTTCTATTGTTTGGGTAAGTCAGCAGTAGGTGATGTCCCCATGTATAGTTGAACTTTTCGAACATAATAACTTACATTGCAGGAGGATTCTCTTATTACTGCAGCTATATGCTAAATCATTGGGAAACTTGAGCTATCATTCTGTCAAGCTTGTGATTCTGCTCCCAGTCCCTCTCCTCCTACTGTGACTTCTTTGGCACAGTTGCATCTCGTGCTCTATTTCCATAGGCCCTGGGTGTTCTATTTGTTCCAAACCCTTTTCCTTCCCATTACAGTGCAGTGGGTCTAGCCAGATGGTGCATTTTCCATTGACTCTTTCCCTCTCTGCTCTCTGAACCTGTGCTATTGATCCATGGTGCACTCTGCTCCAATGTGCTTCCTTCTGTGAGGCTCCATTGGCATCTGCCTAATCTGGGCTCATCACTGGTCTCTTTGCTCATCTAATCCTTGAGGTCCCTGTGATCACATGACTGCTGGGTCACTGTGTTGACTGTGTCTGCTACAGGCTATTGATCACATTCAGTGATATTTGCATCCATCAGTTTCTAAATTGTCGCTAGAAATTTTGATGTGTTCATATTAGTGGAATTCAATTCCTGCTGCCTATCCTCAATGCCCCAGCTTTTTGTGACTACAAGCACATTTCCCAACGATTCTTTAGCTCTTTTAATAGTGGCTTCAATCTCTGCAAGAATATTAATGGTGTAGCCTTGATTTTAGCTACCCACTACACACCTACCCAAGTATCCCAGTTTGTCGTTCTCTGTGGACTCCAACTATGCTCCTCACGTGCCTTCCTTCCCACTGTGTAGAATCCAGAACCTCCACCCTGCATCTCCAAAGACTCTGGAATTCTCTACTCTGTTGCCTCACCACTGCTCTGTATCTCTGGATTCCACTGTGCTTAGGCTGAGTAGGGGAAATTCTCCCTACTCGCACATTATTCACACAGCTGTGCGTATTTCTGGAGCTCATTGTCTGCCTATGTCATCCTCATAGCTACCCAGCCTAGACCCACAATAGTGCAGGAATCCTAAAACCAGTCACTCTCCCTGGTTCCCAAGTGTGTTGTGTCCACATTGGCTGATCCCAGAAAACCCTCCATGAGAAAACCATAAATCTAATTGGTGTCTCCTTCTGATGGGTTCAGTGTGGTGAATCCCAGTGCTGCGTTGAGGAAATATTTCATCAGTGTGTGTGTGTGCATGGGGAGGGGGCGGGGTGGCAAGCCATGAAAGCAACAAAGCTAAAGTGGCCTAGCCAGGTCTTTATCGACCATTGTCCATTTGTACAACAGAATTGGACACCCCAAGAATTGGTTTATTCACAGGTCTAAACCCAAGTCATGCGCAACATCCTTGACATATATGGATGTAAAATACCACGTACCACAGGATCCCTACAAAAAGGGACCAAATGATGACACACAAATACTGCCTTTAGTGGGTCTTACGGAAAGAGGCATGAACATTGCGAAATTTACCAGCCCTTTCCTGCCACCTAGATGATGAAAGTCTATGTGCTCTGTTGTCTGACTACCTGAGATTCTACTGGTAACCTAAACAATTCCCTAGATGCTGTCACTGTGCCTCCAGAAACTCAGGAAGACGGTGCTTCAACAAGATTGTTTAAACAATCTGTACCAAGAATGCGGCAATTGAGCTGTTCTATCAGAGTCAGGTCAGAGAATTTGGCATTGTTATTGCTCCTCAGCTCGTCCTCCCCGCTATGTGACTATTGTCTTGTTGTCCATGGGGGAGACAAAGACGTACGCGTGGGGATAGGCTTGCGGGGTCCAACAGTGCCGATGGGGAGTCTGGGAGGACCAGGGCTGGCAGGTCCTTCCCGAGCTCGTGGTGGCCGCTGTGCCGCGGTAGCTCTGGCCATTGCCCCAGTAGCAGTCGGCAGCGTCACTCTCTCCGGGTGGCACTGAAACACAAGGCAGTTGTGATGTCATATGTGTGACACATCTCAACAGGCCCGTCCCTCGGTTCTAAGAAGACAGCAGGGCTGTTTCTAGACCAGGATGCGTTCACAGAAAGGGATGCACTAGGCTAGGGAACATTCTGCGTAAAACAGAGGAGAGAAAAGGGCATCCTGCGTGTCTACGTGCACTTCCCACTGTTGGACGCTCGCCAATTTGACAAAGGCTCTTGCACACAAGATGGCAGGTCCAGAACAAGGATCGGTTTCTGCCTGAAGCCCCAAAAGAGAGGACCACGAACCGCCTGTTCTGTTTCAAGAAAGAGAATGACAACGACACTCCATCCCAGAGGCTCCGCTGTGCGTTGAGCTGTCGATGGTCTCTGTCACGTAGACACGCAAGACAGAGATCGTCCCCTATCTGCATATGCACATGTATGTTTTGGGTGTGGATTAAAAGGATGGACAAAAGTGAAGCTTTCTCTCATTGAAAGTTGTCTCTGTCACAAGGAAGAGATTCATCCTTGTTGTCTCTTCCTCTGAGGCCTGCATCTCCACCTCCCACATGAGGCTCACCTGCTGATCAGGCAACAGTCTCTGGTCACCATTGGGTGTGGCCGCCAGGGAGTACCTTGTGGGGTCGCCTCCCCCAACTCTCTCTCTCTCTCTCTCTCTCTCTGTATTGGGTGTTTGTCCAGTGCAGGGAATTGCTCCTTCAGGTGTGGAAGGGGCATTTTGAAAGGCTCCATACCTAGCCGTTTGCCAAGGCAAGAGTTTTCATTTCATTGCCCCTTTGTTCCCGAAGAAAGTATTGGTAAACTCTATTTTCTATGGCATGCTTTGCCCCGAGTGACTGTGAAAGGTAGTCTTCTAAACTCTGCTTTGAACATGAAATCTGGCTATTGCCGCACAATTCAGTGATGGCCGTCTCTTCAAGAGATGCTATTCTTTAGGACTTCAACCCAGATATTTAACTTCCACTCAATTCTCAACTTGGTTTGGCAATGGTTTGCAAGACGGATGGCCTCACAGAAACCAAAGACTAAGGAAGCATGAGGTAGGTCACTTGCAGAAATGTTCACACCGAGAGACAAAATTGAGCAGCGGAAAAGACAGCAGCTTTGAACATATCAGAGATGGTAGACACGTGGTCTCACACGTGGGGAGCTGCAACTAAGCACTCGTAGAGCACAGACGGAGGAGAGGTGAGAGCGGAGCCAGACACCACAGACGGCTCTGGAGGACCGTGACAGAGACTCCTGCGTGGGCGGGAGCCACAGAAGGGAGCGGGCAGCAGAGGACACACTACCTGGACAAGGGGCACAGGCAGGGGTCGCCATGGCGCTGGAGAGGGCAATGGCCCCGTGGTGTGGGGGCCGGGGTGGGGGAGGATCAAGGGCTCCTCGCCAACCCCGCTATCCATGGCCACCGTGCTGGTGAGAGCAGCGCATCTGACGGCGTGCCCAGCCGGAGTGGGCGGCCACATCGACTCACCTTTGGTAGAAGTCTC